ATAATATCTAGTTTTATAAATTATTGAGCTTATCTGATCTATGCTAGAGTTTCATTGATAAGAGATAAGAGATATCAATCTTTCTTTATCAATCTATTCAAATCTTAGTAGTTTACACAGAATTGAAGTTCTTTATCTGATTTCTTTGTAAAGAGAATAGAGACTGCAGTGAAAGAGTTACTAATATATATAAATTCTTTATTCAATAGATTATTGAGTGTCTTCTGAAGAAGAAAAAGTTCATCTCAGAATATATTATAAAGAGAGTCTTATAATAATTTGAGATTCTTATCATTCTTTTTCTCTAACTTGATACTGTGATTCACTTCAGAATCTCATAAGAAGAGTATATTTATAATATTATCTTATCAGAAGATATCTAGATATTCATGATATTATTAAGAGAGTTTTATACAAGAATCTGTTATTATAATATGAAATAATTTTTCTAGAGTCTTTTTAATATCAGTCAGACTGATGAAATAGATTGATATATAATTCTACTATCAGTAATTCTTTCAGCAACTTCTTTTTCTGAGTATTTCATAGATATTGACAGAGATCTATGTCAGATTAATAGTCTTATGAACATCATCTTTATGAATTCTATCATTGTTAGAGAATATCAAGCTTCTGTTTCAAGTATTTAATAAAATGTCTTGTTCAGATAATCAGATAAGTTATTATTATTATTATTATTCTTCAATTATAGATGTATGCAGTCAGAGACTATGATATCTACCTAAGAACTTTTAATTCTCAGAGTTTTTCCTATGTCTGTAAAGTTAACTATTATACATTCATTAATTTCAGATATGTAAAATCAGAAAATTCCAGCTCAGAATATAAAAACTGTTTACAAATTGCAGTGTTTTAATATCTTTTAATACTTTGAAATCATTTAACAATATCATGATAAAGAAAAAGAGAAAAAGAACACAGTCTCAAAGATAGACACATTAAATAGATAGTATAGAAAGAAATTAAAAGAAAAAGATAAAGAAAAAGATAAAGTAAAGAGAGCTACAGAACAAGATCTCTGCAGTTTACATCTTAAGCTATATACATATTTTAACACTCTATATAACTGACTACTGTCTCTGTTCTCTCAGGCCTGCTTCAGAGATTATCATTCTCTTTAAAGAGTCATCACTCAGCTAGCTTCTGTAACTAGCTTATTCATAAGTGAGATTCTCACTAAGAATAATATCAGAGCTACTCAATTCTAGTTAAGTCTCTAATCTTCCAGCTGTCAATCTCAGCATTTCAGCCTATCAATTGACTGTCACAGTCTTACTTACACTAACCATCTATTAAGAGCATCTAGGTCTCATCTCACCTAGGTTCTTGCTAGACCCAGAGTATCTTAATCAGATAGTTTTTAAATCTCATTTCTCAGAAGTGAGTATCTAGAGTGAGAGAAATGAGACCTGATCAGTTAAGCTTGACAATAATTCACTATTCTGCAGACACTCTAGACCTCAATTACTCTAGTACTGATCTAACTTGAAGCACCCGGAGAACTGTTAATTCTAAGATTAGTGAGAATTAGCACCCGGGAACCCCCGGGATGAATATCTTAAGCTTGATGATGATTTACTATAGTGCACCTGGGGGCCCCTGATACTGTTTTATGACTTAACAGTGAAAGCTGTGATTAAGATGGCCCTTGCAGGGTTTGAACCTGCCCCCTCTTGACATTCATTCCCCGGGGGGAAGGCCGCTAATTGAGGCTCCATGGTAGTGTAGTTAACCACTACGCCACCGGGCCATAGCCAGGCAAGTTCTAGTATAAGATTATAATCAAGATTATCAACTTCATATGCATAGATATTTTCATATTGATATTCTCTCACATCTATAGTCAGCTTCATTATATAACAGATACAAATGTCTTTTAAATCATTAAATTCTGTGAGAAGTCAAGGTTTTAATAAAGAGATACACTGAAGATTATAATATTTTATAACTGAAGATTTTATTATTATATAGTGATATAGATCACTGTCTATCATGGCTTTTATATTATACATATTATCAATCACAGTAGATATAAGAATTGCATTCATTATTATCTTCTTTTCAAATTATTATTATCTGATCTCTTCAAGCTTCTGTTTATAAATTTGAATAGAAGCTAATCTTTTCTCTGTTTCACTGAGATATTCTTATAGTTATTTTCTGAATCTTTCTCTAATGTAATATAATTAATATAGACAGACACTGATTCATTCTTTGAATAAGAAGATGCTGATCTTTCTCTCAAGTATGAAGATATATAGATTAATTAGCAGTTGAAAGTAATATATTCTGATTAATTACAGTTAATATATACTTCATATTAATATCAATCAGTGACTTCTTTAGAAGTGATCTCAGAAACTCAGAAGTCTGTTCAGACAGTGAAGACTCTTGCTTATATATAGATATTCAAGTCTACTCAATTCATAACATCTGCATTATTATTATTTCTCAGTGTGAGTATATAAGTTACTGAGATGTAACATCTTCTATCACTATTCTATATATTCTTAAGCTTAGTAAGATGATTATTCATTGTCTGAAGCTGTGTGTAGAAGTTTTTATAAGTCTAGTCTTTATCTATACTTATAAAAGCTTGTAAGAGTTTGAAAGTTAATGTCTTCTTAAGTATGCTAATCTTCATTCAATTCTTTTAAGATTAATCATCTACTTCTAGAATCTTGATATTAAAGTCAGAGATGAATATTATAAGAGAAATATTTCTCTGTTAAGTACTCTGTAGTCAATCTAATACTTTCTGTTATATAACAGTGTCTTGAAACAGAATATTAAGATATTTCATAATATTATCAGATATTTATAATACTGATTCACATGCTTTCATTCATAAATAAAACTTCTATTTTATATAATCTTTCAATTATTCATTGATATACTAATCTTAATTAATTAATGAACTGATAATATCTCTATCTACACTTAGTTTCACAAGCATTTTCATTCTTCATAATGAGTAGAGAGTGAGATTGAAAGTATTGAAATATGTAGAAGTATCTAAGTATTCTTTCAATACTTTTATATTTAATTCTGTAGATGTTGAAATTATATGAGTTAGTTATTAAATCTCTTCATATTAGCATTGTTAAGTTGTATGTATATCAACTATTTATTGTTATTATAGTTTTAATATTACTCAGAGTCACTGTGACACTGTATTTATACTTGTGTTTGAGAGTTTCATATTATCATTAGACATGATTATATCAATTATCAGATGTGTAATTGTATTCTCATATATCTGAGTGTCAGAACTCTCAGATCTTTCACTGATATTCTCTTATAAGATCTTATTCTCTTCATAAGATCTTGTTACAGAGTCAGAGTGACTGATAAGCAAGCTTCTATCTGAGAACTATCTGAGAACTTAGTGTCTGCTTAACTGTTTAACTGTTTCTCTATTTCTTACATGTTATTATGTGTTCAGATATCTCTTGATAAATAATCATTTCTGATAAGAAGATGATGAATGTTTTTATAGTGTAAGAGGCCTACACTGAATAGATCAGTATAATATTATAGATCTTATATAACAAAGATAAAAACATTAGAGAAGCAAAGAAAGAGAAAGTGTGAGAATCAGCAATTGAGATGAATATTTATACACATATGTGGTGGCATACATGGTGGAACTTCGGGGCAGGAGAATATACGCGCGTTCATAGTGGCCGAGGATCGGTGATTGAGAATGGCTGAGAATCAGAGCGTACGCATTCAAGAATGATATACACGCGTTTGTAGCGGCCGAGGATCGGCAATCGAGAATGGCTGAGAATCGGAGCGTACGCGTTCGAGAATGATGTGGTTGGGATCTGTGGAGTGTAACGGAATAGTCTATATGATTGATCGGGCGCAGCCCGCCACAACTGACAGAGTATAAGTGTGAAGAATCATCATCATCAACTGCAACTGATTCAGTGAAAAGAACATGAGATTGCAAACATGTATGTGAGTGAGATTGTGTTGAATCCATCATCTTGATATTTGTTTATTGAATCCTTGTCAATATCATTCTCTTTTCTTGCTTTTTTGCAAATGTGATGTGTTTTCTGCAAGCCTCTTTTTTAAGTGAGCAGTAGTATTATTGATTATCAAGATCTCAAACACATCAATACTTATAGAATAAGATGATTTTAACTCCTGATGAGTGTATTGAATGAAGCAGTAGTTCAAATAATGAGTATATTGACAAGGAATCCCGAATTGGCAGCAATTTTGCACAAAACAGGTCTCATAACCTGTGGAAGGTGTAAAGCTCCTGTCATTGAAAGGTTGCTAGCTTGTGGAAAGTTATATGGTGGAAGGATTAGTAAGCCAGATCATGTGACCTGACAAAAAAGAAACGAATGAACAGCCTTACCCATTGAAAATATTCAGGGGTATCTCATGTCTCGGCCTCGACCTCGGTCGGTCCCTGGAAATTTCCGCTGTCTACATTGACTTCACCTCCTACATACGTACATACCTCCTCCCCCGTCGCCTGCGTCCTGCTTCCAAGCAATGAAGATCTATTGGTCTCCTCAACAGACCGCAATAATAATGTCAAATATTTCATATTCGAGCGATGATTCTGCAACTGCAGAACTCAGGCCCCACAGTAACGAAGTATTCATTCAATATTTCACCTGCAGGTTCTTCATGATGTATTCAGATTGAATTATGTTCATTCTGAGTCCTAGCGTGTACTTTGACTACAGCAAAATAAATGAATATCCCAGAAATACACACACCAGAGTCTTTGGCTGTGTTGTTATCTTAAATTCATGGTATTTATTGATCTTGTTAAATTGTGAAATATCACAATTGTTAATTGCAACTTGTCCTACAAAGACCTCCCCGCTTAATTGCCTAGCGAGCTATCGCGGGATCTTGATATGTACCGCACATTCTTCTACAAGTTATCGAGAATAACCGCCCCAGAGTTACTGTTGGGAACACCGACTGGGTGTTGCCCTTGGGCATTTTTCTTCAATGGAGTGTCCCAGATAAAAGCCGCGGAAGGAGTTTAATCAAGAAGCGCCCACATCAAAATATGCAAGAAAGCTGTATCTCAGGAAATACCCTTCGCAAATTTTTTTTATTGTTTTCATCTCAGTTTAATGGCCATTCACCATTCTCAACCTCTCCCCACTGCGTCAACATATCTTAGTATTGGCCCATGCAATTGTTGCCACCTTTTCGAGCCTTTTTCCAGCCCTGTTTCCTATTCCACAAGAGAAATGCGATGAGAATGATCTTTCCGGCTCGGCTCAGACCACCACAGCACTTTCATCAGAAGTTGCAAAGAGAAAAATGAGCATGAAGAAAGCGGGCGATTCCCATTAGCGAGCCTCTGCAGTAAAGGAAGGACAACAATACCAACTAAGAAACTAACAGCAAGTTCCTGTAATGGGTTTTTGGTAATATATAGAAAGTGTATATATATACCCATTGCCCTGCCCTCAAACCTGCTTGTCTGTCTGGTCATGATCCTCATCACGTCTCAATCATTTTGACAATTCTGCTTGCATTGCAACAACGCCCGAAACTCACAGCATCACAGTAACCAGAAAGTATGATGTCTGTTCCGCCCAATCAACACCCTCCACAGGCGCTGCCAAATCCAGACAACCCATTCGATCCAGCTGTAAATCACTGGATGTATTCCTTCGTGCAGAATCATTTCCAAGCGTGGAAATTAGGCATTGCCCTAGTCAAAAAACAGTCAGACGAAAAAAGAAGATTAGGCTCACGGAGAGTAGGGCTTCACAGAGGCGCGGATGAATTTCTTTATTTCCTTGTCGAGCCGCGAGGCCAACCGGAGAATGATGAACGAACATCATCCAGTTTTTGGTCATGCGGAGAGGAACCAGGGATTTACCATAATCAATATGAAATCACTCCGACAAACTATCCCGGCATCTTGCGTGGGAGCTTTTTCAGCGTTGAGGACACCATCTGGATTTTGAACACTAGCACGCTTCCTCGCACCGGAAAATATTCGCCCGCTCGAAGGGCAATCCACCTTAGGCGCATATACTCCTTAGCTAGGCGAAATCACGACGACCTGAGCTGCCATCTCAGTCAAGTTCGCTACATGGTTATTACAAATATTCCTCTTGAAGAATTTACGAGCCGACAGGTTATTGAGGACGCAATTCAATGGATATCTCACATTTATGGCCCCTTGGACGTGAGCATATTCAAGTTTGTACCAAACTACCCGTCAGGGAACCATGAAAGACAGATCGAGGAGGATACTATATTCTATACCCTGCTTGGAACCGAAGTTATGATACCGATCATGGAATTTATATACCATGAGCTGCGCTGGACTAATTGCTTGGGCGTAACTGCTGTTGACATTGCTGTCTACCGAGATCGTCCCCAACCACGATATGATCTCCGCGTGACCATCGAGTACGGTCCGCTGCCTTAGAGGAAAATATTTTCTTTCTTAGAATCAATCCTTCAGATCCCAATCTTTAGAGTCCTATCCATTAGCATCACTTATCTCCTTTTTTTTCTTACTCGTCTCTTCTACTATTTGTTTTTCTTCCTGTCTTCTTCCCCTATTTTTTATAATTTCTTTGTTAGCAACCTTTCTTACTCATCTAATCTATGCTTTGTTTCCCCCCCCCCTCTCTTCTCTTTTATTTCCCCCGCACTTCTTAGTGAGGAGATAAATATTAGGATTTTTTTGGGTTTATTAGTTCCCTTTGGAGTGTCTATCTTCTTCATCCTACTTTCTAACCAAATGTGATTTGCTATTTAAGAATAAGGGTAATGGCTATCCCTTGCTGTGAATGAAGTAAAACCTTGGAAAGAAAAATTGTATTGACCATTGCATAGTTGAATAGAAGTGCAACGAAGCGATAAATGGTCATGATAGATCTCTACAGATGGTCATTACTTGGCCAACGGGTGAAGGAGTAAATTAGAAATATTCCCAATATAAGGACAAAGCGAGAGCAGAAATAAATGAATTATTGCGAAGGAAAAAAAAAAAAAAAAAAAAAGAAAAAAAAAAAAGAGAGAGAGAGAGAGAGAGAGAGAGAGAGAAGAAGAAGAAGAAGAAAGGGAAGAAGAAGAGAGAAGTTCTAGCTGGTTTAATGAAGCGATAATATACGCGCTCGGAATTGCAAAGTTTTCAAACCGCGAGACGGTGTGTATCAGAGTGATCATGCAACGAGACCGCGTCTTCTTCCCAAAAGGCAGTCTTCTTGTCTTTCCCCTTGGCCATTCCAGCAAAATCAAAAGGGTCAAAAACAGTTAGGAGAAAATGTCTATCATCGACCCAGCCTGGGCCAATGCGCTCTGTTTTCCCATCCTGCGCTAGATAAATCACATTGGACCGGGGAAGGCAGCTGGCAGGCGGGAATATATTCATCAAAACACCATTGATGAGTATGGGTATTGCATCGAGGCACCAGAAATATGCCTCGGTGCGGCCCATAGCAGATCCCCACCCTTCAAATGTGTCTATAGCACGAAATACATTCCGAATCGTCAACAGCACGCACGACAAGTAGAGGGTTACCAGCACTTTTCGGATTCTTGGTTCGTGGATACCAGCTTTGTGTAAGCGGCGGTGGAAATGGGCGACGAGAACGCCAAAAAGGGCGAAGATCGGGATTTGTGCGAGAATCGAAATCTTGATTAGGATGGCGCCCACCTTTAGCGTCCCTGGCGGGTGACTGAGATTTGACCCTATAGATGCTCCAGAAGAGGCCAGGGCTTCGATGATAACATCGCACCCGAGAAAAGTCGATATCACGCGCCCTGGATGCATTGGCGATAGCCAGGGGACATAATACAGTACACGACCGAAGATGATAGAGTTTATGGCGAGGAATATAGGGCTGTAGGAACTAGTCAGAACAGCGCTTGAATAGTGTCTACCCATCAAACCATCCAGGGTGACATTGCGGTGGAAGGGGGGATGGCTTACGGGGCACAAAATAGGAAACATGACGTCGCAATGAAAAGATTAAGATCTCCGTAGAGGCCGTGAGCTGCAATTTCACGGAGGATATAGCCGACTACGAAGATCAGCGAGACCCATGGAAGCAGCATGCCCATCCGCCACGTTTTATATCTCCTGCAAGAAGGGCATCAGATATGCGATCCTGAGTATGGAGAGGAGACAGAAAAAGAGGTTATCTCATACAAGTTATTTTGCCATAGATGCAGAACGCCCGAAACAAGCCAAAGAACCGCAAAAACTGCGGAGGCTCCCTTTACTGGCTTGTACTGGAAGAAACTAAAACCCTCTGTGGTAGGAAGCCTGTATTTAGCTTGAGGAAGCTAATAGTGTTTTCATTGTCTGTCAAGGGAAACTGAGACGTACCAGTGCCAGGTCCGCCCATCGCAAAAAGGAAATAAATAAATAAAATCCTTCGATTATCCAAAAATTAAATGATGAGAAATGGAAGTAAACACTGGAACAAGAAGCAAGGTTGGTCTAAGCATTAAGATGACTGACAGTATGGCCTGCACAGTAAGGACACGAAATAGATGCTCTGGACACAGAGTATTAATCCAGAAGAAAGTGTGCGCCATAGCTGCTTTTTCAAAATATTATATACTCCTATTCTGAAGCGCAATTGAAGCTCGTCGATCGTACTCTGTATAGATCGATCCCATATATCAACATCGGCAGGTCGGAATGCACTAGCCGCATTCGGTAGAATTTCGTTTAGTTACGCCTCACTCGCGAGTGGTCAAGCAGCCAATAATAGTAATACGAGCGGCGGCGGGACTCCTTGCCAGGCTGACAGTCCGACAAAGTGGCCGATATCAAAGAGACCCATCCCATCCCATCCATGATATGAGCCCGCATTCCCCAATGGCACCCCGGCCATATTCTCAGGATCTTCTTGGTGTAAGTTATCCATCAGCCAAGAAAGACTATTTCGTAACTTACGCGATACGAAATACGAGATAAACGCGCTCAAACCATAAACCGAGGCTAGCAACTCTGTTGTACAGGCAAAGAAAGGCACGACTCAGAAACACTTCTCCACACGATGCGATAGCCCTCACACGACGCTACCGTTGTAACAAGATCTGATTATCCATGGAGATGAGTCGTGGCCAAAGACAGGGGAGAGATTATTTCTCTGTCAGGTCAGCCTGTAACTTACCTAACAACCATCTCTCAGAGCAACACACACAAGCTTGATCTGTGGTTGGACTTCACACAGCCACGGGCAGCGGTTCTAAATATGCTTTCCCAGGCTCACTGGGATAACTTCAAAAGTTCATCGTTCATCGTTCCTCTTGAGAAACGGGACAAATGAATCCTCTTGTTCTGCATGGATTCTCCAGCATCACCACATTCACCATCAGGACCAAATAGAGTGTGTTCTACTGGACCGGGGTTTTAGGCCTGATTTTTAAGGAATATCTTTCCGGCACCGGATACATTGAACCACAGGGGGAGTAGATGCATCCATCCTTCGCTGGGAAGAGCGCAGGCGGGATACTTTGAGTATTTTTCACGGTATTGGTCACATTCAATTCGTTGGATGGCGCATCGCCAATTCTTTCCTAAGTCATTCCTTCACTTTTCGTGTTTGCGAACCTTGTGGAAAAACACAGTTTGGTGTACACTGCCCCAGACAAAGCTAAGGCGTGCCTAGAAGTATGGTTTGCATTCCTTGTGGCATTCTCTCCTGCTGTCTTTCCTGGATATTGCGTTTGTGACTGGCCGTCGCGGCCCTGGGCAAGGCTATGTTTGAATGGTGACAGGAGCTGGCACTGCTCAAATTGCCATCTGGTCCGTTGACTCGGGTCCGTTGACAGCAATTACCTCCCCTTGGGCTTGGAAGTATGAGCCAAAACCCGCTCCGAAGCCTGGTCGCCAAATTAAGGTGTGGTCCACACCTGCATAACAACGATATATTTTGGTGTATGGTCTCGCGTATAGCTGATGGGAGGTCATGTTCAAATCCTACCTAGGTACCGTTGGATTTTCTCATTCTGGTCGTGCTGGTCAATAAGTTTGATTGCAGTTGGAGCAATGGTATAACGATACGCCATACGACTATCCCCCGCCTGTTCCTTGGTTTCTGGCTACTCAACAAAGCTTGACGGACCGTAGCTTTTGAACGAAACCCGTCAAATGTGCACCTTATTAAAACAACAATGGGGCATTCTTGGTATCTATAACTCTGTGTGGTATTCTCAAGGCAAAGCTGAGTCCAGGCCCTTTGTTCCCAGTTCCTGAAGAAATTCTGTAGGTATGATTCCGCTCAAAGTTAACTGTGGGAACAAACTTCTCGGCCTCTTGACAATCATGATGAACATTTGGGACATGATCCTGCTTAATTATGAGTGCTGTCAACTACCAGAGGAAATTCATGTATGCCTACCCTAAGCTCGCCTAGATTACTCGCTACTGACTATATTTCTTTTTACTATTTTTCAACCATCTGAAACGTGTCCTCTAACTGCGAAAAAATTAATCCAAGCACAAACCATGTCCTCGACTCGACGAACAACAATTCCCGACCGGCCCAAGCCCAATGTACATGTACCATGTAGCAATATATTCTTCTACGGCATAGGTGCGGGAATCATGGGCGTAGCAGCGTACGTTTTCCTTACTCAATTCCAGCCCCTTGCCCTACCCCCGAACCCTCTATAAATAAATGAATAAAATAAAGCAATAAAAAAGGAAACTGACACGCACCCCTCCTTCCCAGCACCAACCAGCATGACCATCTCGGAAAAGCTCGTACAATTCTTCACCGGCCGCCCCAACTCGCTCGTGCCGGGATACACCATGCAGCGCCTCTTCGGCATGTCCCCCCGGCCCGAGAGTGAGATGTTCCCGCTAAACATGTCCATGTAACTACGGCCAGGGGGCGGTGGCGGGCGTTATCCGCGCGCTTATGAGGGTAAATGGCATCCAGGGGCCGTTGCGGATTTCATGTTTATTGGGGTGCGGTTGATGATTGATCAGACGTTGGAGAATTGGATGGGACGGAGGCGTTGCCGTGGTATGTGATTCCATTTTGCTTCTTTTTTTTTTTTTCAACCTTTCTTTAGTTCGTGATTCGTGGTGCGGAAATGGTATATGCTTGCCGCTGGTGATTAGTGGTTCTGGATATTTGTTTGTTCGACGCCCTGGTTTAATTCGTGGAACTCATTAATTTTGTCTTGCGTGGGGGTTAGGACTTGGCCTGTCAATGACCAGGTGATCGATATCCTACATAAAGACCGTCTTTGCGCTGGCGCCCGGGTCCCTTACTGATTTTCTGTTTTGGTACTAGAGGATGGATGGTTAGATCAGTCCATTAGACACCAAGTTGTGTGTTTGGGTGGGGGGGGGGGGGGGGGAATGCTGTAACACAAAAAGGCATTAGTGATATTGCTGTATATATGCTTTTGAATTTCAAGGGGAGAATTGGGCCTGGGGATTTTGTACATTGTTTCATGCTGAGAGACCCTCACTAGAATAAGAGGCTTTTCCATCAGGCAACTAAGTGTGTGTGGGTTTGGAAGGGGCATATCTACACCTCCCATACAGAGTATATCAAGATAGCAAATGAACGAGAACCTAAAAGCCATCTGATTGATCTCATGAAATCTACTCTAACGCGTCTCTAAAGAGAAGTTGTTGCATACAAGAAGGGGGCTGAGATTAGATTTTAAAATATATGGGAAGATTGATCGAAGAGCAAAATATAAAATATAAAATGAAAAGAGAAAAAATAGAATAAGAATTTTGATCTTCTGAAGGGTGGCTGGTGTGAAAGGAAAAAAGGAGAGAAAGGACAAGTACCAAAGATTGTGGAATGGAGGAAACAAGTTAAGCGGGAGGAATGGATAGCCATCGAAGCCAAAAATGTGTATACCCAAATAAAATGCTACAAGACAGAAAGAAAAGGACCAGCTGGCCGTATGTGAAGATAAATGAAATCTGAAAACCTTGACGCCCAAAAGGTACACTGGACAAAAAAAAAAAAAAAAAAAAAAAAAAAAAAAAAAAACCAGGCAGAGAGGGTGATACATGGAAAGGATTACACCATGCCGCGACGCGGCGCGCCTCATGGCAAGCGAATGGAATCTAATAAAATACAGGGCACGCTAGACCCTTGCTTGCTAGCCCGATATCAGAACCCATAAGAGGAAGAATATCTGTAGTCAAAAGTCAGAATATATGACCCAACTAACACCGGTACTGCTCATGGTTGAGCAGTTATAGAGCCCTCAAAACAGTACAGGGAGCAAAAAAAAAAAAAGTGGGGAAGAGGTGGGGGGTTGGAGATAAATACCATTAAAACGCCAAACATCTTAGCAACCAACCACCGATTCCCCGAAACTCGAGACCAGTACTTTAACAGCTCTCTATGTGCGCCTTGCACATTATCAACCACATCCTCTGTATTCGCATCGATGCGCTGGATCATTTCAGACTGCTCGCTGACCATCGACGCCAACTGGCCAAAGATGCCACCGAGCTCGTTTATTGTACGCTCGATGGCTTCGATGGCTTCCCCGCGTGCTTGGATATAAGAGTTGGATGACTGAGCTTCTTCCATCATTAGAAGTTGCTGATCGGATTGGGATCCACCGCCGCGCCCCAGGGAGAAGGGGCTTGCTGAGGAGGATGGTTCGAGGCTTAGGAGGTCGGACGAATTAGGTACTTGAAACCCCGGTGGTGCTGGACTTCGGCTTCGGGGGGGTTGATAGAGAGGGGAATCGGAACGTTGAGGTTCGAGGGCTGTTTGTGACTTGGAAGAGACGGAGGAAACGAAATTTTCTGTTCGGGAGCGGGAGGCGCGGATGTTTTGGGTGCGGACTTCAAGGACTTCTTTGAAGTTTGCGCCGACGTCGGCAAGTTTGCCTTGGAGCATTACCACGACCTTTGATATGCAAATTAGTAGCTATGCCGTAGTTTGAAAACTGGAATGGGCCTACATTATCGTTATGTTCGCCTTCCTGGTCTGTTTTACTCCGTGATGATTTCGGGTGTTGGGCGAGTGTGAGAGCTTGTAGAGACGCGATTTGGGAGTTGAGGGAAGCAAGATCTTGCTTGATGACATATGTGAGCTCTGAAATTTCAACAGGTCGGTCATCAAAGAGGGTTTTGCGCTTAGCCACTAATTCGAGATCTCAAGTCAGCCAAAACTTATCCTACCTATACCCCAGATATCAAATTTCAAACACAATTTCCCACAAAATAAACTCACACATGGCCAGCCTCTGCAATTTCACCATTGTCCCCGAGATCCCTCTCCCAATCTCAGCAGCCCGCCTCGCAAATTCCGATCTGGCCGCTTTCTTGGCCCCCGCGGCTGTTCCATTAGCAGGGGATGGTTGTAAATCTCTCCGTTGGGCATCTGATAGAAAATATTGGCGTTGGGAACCGGTTTTTGAGGAAGCAAGGCGTTTTCGAGCCTGAGTAAGAATGGACTGGAACTCAGGAGTTCGGTCCTGGACAGATGTCGCAACTGCCATGGCCGAAGATTTCGATGATACGGAAAAGGGGAGTCTGGTTGGTAAGGGAGTCGGACTATCTAGCTTTGCGGAATGTGAAGGGACGAACACACGACCCTCATGTCAAGGGTATCGGTAGTGGTACGGAAGACGAAGTGGATTTATCGTGGAGGGGGTGATCTAGAGCTGTTGGATAGGGGTTACGTCCGGAGTTAACATATAACGTAGGTTGATTGCACAGGCTGATGCCAATATTATTCGCAGAAGTCTGATAGGCTGACACGACAGAAGTGTATGTGTTTACTTTTCGAGTAATTCAATTCCGCAGGATATCAGTGTGATTAGAGTGGGAAGATCAGGAGAAGGATGGATAGACATTCGTTGGATAAGATCCATATTCCATTGATGCGGCTCATCAATCTGGCAAGACCAGCGCGGGTCACGGGGCTTATCGGGGGAATAATTTTACCGGAGCCGAAAAGACATCACGTGGATATTTTACAAGCGCTGTAAAATGTTATCGCTTATCCCGACAGTTGGTAATTGTGCCCGTGCCCCCACCCGCCGCTGTTTCCTAACTGGTTCCCACTTCCAGCCTCCAGCCCGCGTTTGGGCGCCCTTAGTTGTTACAGTCCCTGGTCAGCCGAAGGATCAACCAGGGATTGGGCCCAAGGATGCGGCATGGAGTGGAGCTAAAAATAGCCTAGTGTTGGATGTCAATCATGTCATCCTCCTCCCCACAGCCAATCCCCAGCCAATCCCCAGCCATGATCTGCCGTTAGTTGGCTCTGTTGGGCTTAGTAACGTAACGGTATCGTACGCTGGCCATACCCAACCAGGATATAACGTGACAGCCCTAGAGGCTGAATCATCCTCCGCGGCAGCAACAATAATCTCCTGTCTGCGGAGACTTCCTGAATCCTGGACAACCGCTGCTGCTGCTCTGTGTTGTCTGTGGCCACCAGCACACCCTGTGCGTCTCTTCTCTGCTCTTCGTTTCTTCTTCTCTTGTTCTTCCTTGTCATCTTCTTTGCTTGCCCTTTTTTTGTCCTTCCATTGCCAACGACCTCCGTTTCATTTTGTTTCAACGCAAGCTTGCGACTGCTGTGTCGTCCAATGCATCATCCAACGTGATTACCTTGCGCCATCCCTACTACATGCCCTTGATATCAGCCTGTGGCATCCTGCTTACTGCGCAGTCGTTACTATTTTCGCATCAACCATTAGCCCCTTTTATTGACAAGCAGAAACTATTTCCATCGCTGAACGCCTTATGCGCTTATAGAGTTGCCCTCTGAAAGTAGATCTTCACGGGAAGGCTGGCCCTTGAGGTTGATTTCGCTGGTTTTTGACTCGAGCTCACCTTGATCTGGATTTCACCCATCATGTCAGGGTACTCGCCTACAGATGTGGCTGGTGGGAGGTAAACTACAATTTCTCTCTTAATTCTCTTCCTTATTCTATAAATGTTACTAGAGGATAGGTAAACTAATGATTGGAATGGACTAATGGCAGAGGCGATAGACAATTACTAGCAGGACAACCTCCGTCCTTCAAGACAAATGTCAACCGCCAGAAAACTAAGCGCTGGGTAAATGCAAAGTCTTATTCGTACGATGGTGACGAATGGGGTGATAGCGATGAATATGCAGATGAGGAACCTGTTGCCCCTTTAGCTACTGTCCCCGATGAAGCAGAACCCGCATCCCCACTCGATACCCAAGAAAACAAACAAAATATCCAAGCAAATGTCCCTGCGCAACGACGTGCGGACCACAGTGACTCATCGAAACCTCTGCTGTTCATTCGCCCCGCTGATATATATAAACGCATGGAAGAGGAGAGACAAAAGCAGAATAAGAAGGAAGAAGATCAAGGCAGTACTTCTGGTACACCAGTTGACGCATCAAACGCTGCACAGGTTGCAGTTCCCGCAGACAGTGCTTCAAAATTACCTGTACCTGCAGAAAGTCCCCAGGTGCAGCAAAACCCTGACAGCGGCAGGCTACCATTACATTCGCCAGAGAACCGACCTCAATTATCAGAGCAAAGGAAACCAGCTTCCCCAACCCTCCCTGTCGAAAAGCCTGTTGCTGGACCTGCGGATGAGTCTATAGGAGGTGCGTCTACTTCACAAGGCCGGGATAGTCACCAACCGATTGAGGAGAAGCAAGAACAACAACAGCTATCTGAAGGCACAGAATTACACCATAACCCATCTCTTGGTTTCCGCTCTGTTGTCCATCAGGCGTTCGATGAACCTCCAGAAACCCCAAGTACAACAACCAGTAGCATCCCCAGGTCAGATAGTGCCAGTACCTCTATGATCAGCCCAATAATCCAATCCCATCCGTCCTCCAGCTTTGGAGGTGTACTTGGGCCGGGCCAATCATCCAGTGATCAGACTCCAACAATTGATGAAGAGCCTGTGGGCTTTAAACCGGGCCATAGGCGGAGCTTGTCCCCTCCCAATTCCGGAAGTAGCCCTGCTAAAAAACCTATTGTCCAATGCACTGTCCATCCCGCCAAATCTCAGTTGGGGGGAGTTTCCATAGTTGGCACGCCTGAAGCCAAGCCGACCGATACCCGAGGTGGAGAATTTCATGCATCACCTTCACTAACGGCATCGGACATTGAAACCCCCAAACAAGCAGCGACACCATCGTCAATTCCAGAAAGTGCGCCCACAGCCCCTACCAAGGGCGCTCGGCCTCCGTCACCAACTAGTCGCCATGCCCTCCAACAACCTACGCATCCACCTCCTCCCGCACCCCAGCGGGACGAGAACGCTCGTATGCCACCGGCGCTTAATGTAGGTGGAGGAGAAAAGCGAATTTCACAGGTGCAATATTATCATCCTGCATCACAAAATGTCTCGCCGTCTAGCCCCGATAATGTATCACCAGGCGTCCATGATCGGCTAAGAGATGAAATTATGCAGTCGCTAAGCCCGCATGTTTCAATTACCCTTCAGGCCCAAGATAAGGCGGCGGTTGGCTCTAACTCTATCGTGGCAGCTACATCAGACAAGCCTCCGCTAGAGACTTTACATACTACTATCCTGAATCCTCAACAACCTCCACAAAGCCCTGATATGCAAACGTCTCATGCCGCGCCAGTTTTCTCCGACCGTGGTCCTGACTACAACTCCGGTCTTGCAGGCCAGAATGAACCCGCTATGACGCTAAAGAAACGGTTTTCTTGGGAAGAGTCATCGATTGAAGACAATAACCAGGAACCCCCGGAGCTTCAGCAGCTAACTATTAATCCAGCCATGGCCCCAGATATTACACGAGAATCCGTAGGAGAAAGAACACCAACTGGTCCGGAACGAGTTAGTGGAGACCTCAATGGACAACAGGCTGAGAGGAGCCCGGATACGGATCCAAGCCAAGCGGCTGTTGCCCCAAGCCCAACAGCTAGGGCTGAAGTAAGCCCAAGTCAAAATCTCACAGAATATGAAACCCCATCCGTCCAACCGCATGACAATCTACCTATCCAGCCAGCGTCTGCTGGAGGTTCTCCTAGCATCCCTGCTGAGCTTCAGTCTGCAGCCCAACTCCCAGCAATACAGGATCATAGATTACTCGGCTTCCGCCAAATCATGGCCATAGACAAGCCCAACGAGAAGATTAAAACGTTCGAGCGTACCAGAAAACAATTCGCAGATATGGACACAGGCCTGTCATCCTGGATAAATGCAACAACCAGCTCAAACCCCGATCATGCGGACTTGGCTCAGCGCAACGGCCTCCTCCCACCAGGAACCACCTTTGGGCATAGACCTAGCGCGTCGCGGAATAAGTTCCCCAAACTCACATCTTTAGGTAACCTTTCGCTCCAAACGTCCCATAACGAGGGATCTCCAACAACGCCGCCGACGACAGCCGGCGGGCATACACGACATGCATCCGGCGCCAACCAATTTTCCACGAAGATCAACACCCAGCAGGTGCAGGCCAAGGGTAAAGATTTGCTTCATAGCGCCGGTGTACTGGGCGGGAAGGCCGGAGGAGCGGCCAAGGGGCTCTTTGCAAAGGGGAGGAGCAAGTTCCGGAACAGCACGAGTACTGATAAGGTAGATACTTGAAACAAATTCCCATTGTTCGGTGGGATTCCTTGATTTTCTTTGTTTATATCGATCTGGCGGTAGGGCCGTATAGGGCTTATTCTTTCCCCTGCATTTATGCCTTATTTCATATTCGAATTGGGGTGCGGCAAATCCTTTTTTGTCTGCCCTCGCTGTTTGTCAGCTGCGAGTACAATTTGAGCATATATCTCTTTCTATTCTTTTCCTATGTATATTCTTTTATTATCCATTTGTTTCCTCTTCCAATTTGCCTTTTTTTATCATCAATTTGTATTGAGGATCCTATAGTTCCGACACCCCGCAACGAAACATCTGCGCGGGCATTATATGACACTGTTATCACCAACCGTCTTTTTACCTCATTTCCACCTTGCTCTTCTTTTCTGTCTCTACCTCTCCACCTCTTCATGCCTCCTTGAGAGGCGTTAAACTTCCCAGAAATCTAATTATGCTTTTCTCTCGCCGTTCTGTAGGTAAATTCCTCCCGCCCCGGCACCGCACGGCGCAGGTCAAGCTCCACCCCAAGCCTTGAGACACAGCAGCAACGTGACGTATCCAACAACCAGCAGACCGCGGCCGCGGTTGACAAGCCACTACCTCGCCTTTTATCGCTCAAGTTAGATCGCGCGCCGTTTTCCAATGATATGACGACGACATGGGAGGAACATGAAACGACGACGGCGACGACATCCGGTGCCTCGCTGTCTCCTGAGCCGCAAACTGCGATAATGTGGGCCAGTGGTACTGGCAGCCCTAAAAGTGATGGTCTTTCACCGGCGCCGGCGCTGGGGCAGCTGCCGCTGAAGACGGAGAGGAATAGCTGTCCCGTCCCGCTGGTGTCACCGGTTGTGTCGCCTGTTGATGTTGAGTCTGCGGGGTTGGTTGGGACTTCTGGACCGAATGGGTTTAAGGATAGGAGTTTGCAGGAGGAGGAGCAGGAGCAGGAGCAGGAGCAGGAGCAGGAGCAGGAGCAGGAGCAGGAGCAGGAGCAGGAGCAGGAGCAGGAGCAGGAGCAGGAGCAGGAGCAGGAGCAGGAGCAGGAGCAGGAGCAAAAGCCGGAGCCGGAGCCGGAGCGGGGAGGAGATATCGATCTGAAAAGGGATTTGACGCTGCCGGTTGGGGATGTGGTTTTGGAGCCTCCGGTGAATGTGCAAGAAGAAGCGGTGGTGTGGAGAGAGAAGAACGAAGAGGCCCATGAAGAGGTGGAAGGGGTGGTTAAAGAGAAGGCTAAGGAGGACGTAGAGGAGGAGGTTAGGGACGAGGCTAAGAAGGACTTTGAAGAGATTAAAGATGAGGTAAAAGATAAGGTTGAAGAGGTAAACGAAGTGGTTAAGGAGGGGTTGAAACGAGAGCCACAAGAGCCACAAAAGCTAGTGCAACAGCTGCAAGAGCCGCAGTGGGAATTGCAAGAGTTGGAAGAGCACCGGGAGGGAGTGAAACCAGAACCGCAAAACGAGCCACAGCAGAGCGGACTTGAGGTACCAGAATACAAACCACAAAAGGCGGCGCCGAATCAGTTGCAACGGGAAGCGCAACCGAAAGTACAACCTGGAGTTCAATCAGAAACTCAAGAAGATGTAGAAAGTCCCACTGATTCTGTGGACGAACAGCGACCAACTTCATCCGCAGCGCTCTCAATGGCGGATAACAGGACTTCTTTTATGCCATCTGATTATGCCACCTACACTAGCCCACCAGTTGAGGAAGCACGAGCTGTCAAAGTCATTGGCCGGAAGGCAAGCGTAATTACTTCAGAATTACGCACCTTTATCTCACGCGAAATCAACATTGGCAGAAAGGGGAAGATTCAACCGACTCCAGCAGTCGAACCAACTGGGGACGCTGAAGGGAGTGGTCAACCACCCCATCCGCCATCAGGTAGTGAAAATGAAAGTGGCCGCGAGCTCTCCGACTCAACACAGGCCACACCTGAAGCCGGTCTCCCGGACGACCAACGTAGCGATACTGACGCCATTCGTCATTCGCAGCCGCGACCAGTCATTTCCCTGCAACATGTGGAACAGAATACTAACCGTAGAGATACGGTCTCGTCCTCCAGATCAGAGTCAACGGAGCCCCGATATATAGGGGTTGATAATACTGCGCAGCAGGTTCCGCCAGCACCGAAGAGCCCACCACCAACGCCTGCAAATAAGATCAAGACATTACCATCTATGTCTCCCGAGAACAAACCAGTGTCTGTCCGGCCAGATAGCTATAACTCTAGGAACCAGCCTGCTGAGCAGATCCAACCCCAGCCAAAACCAGCTGCCGCCAAATCCACGGAACTTAATACTATCGCAACGTCGAAACCCAGTCTCCTTCCTCTTGTGCCGGATACAACCGCACAGCGTTTAGCGGTAGAACGTGAATTAACTTCTGGCGTCACCGAGGGAAAGCCTACTGATCAACCATCTGCTGCGCCATCTGTTAAGCCCTCCGCTCCAACGGAGACTCCTAGTGAACGCCTCACCAGTCCTCCGGTGACCCACCCAAAACGATTTGCTGGCTCTGTCAGGGAGGGGCGCGCGTCAACTCAGTTGATCCGCGAGTACGCTGGCAACACTTCATCAAAACCCGCAACTGTACAAGAGGAGTTTCGCCCAGGCTCGGCTATGGCTAACTTGATGTCTAAAGTATCTTTTTCCCGTCAGGCAGCTGATCGGCGTGCGAGCGCTACTGGACAATCCAACGAGAAGAGCTGGAGCAATCGGTTCCAGTCCTTTAAGGTTGATTCAGGTCTTTCAAAAACCAGAAGCGCGAGCGCTCTCGCATCCGGGGACACCCAACGTGCCTCGCCTGTGTCTGTTTCGAATCCCAGCGACCCAACCAATAATCTGCCGAACAACCAATCTCCAGTTGGTAAAGTAAAAATCCACGGCAAATTTATTAGGGGTGCCAGCCGTCTTGCTCAGAATGCTGGTGAGATGAAGAAGAACATGCCTAGAGTGACTGTGAGTTACCCGAATCTAAAGCTTGCTTTCCCTTGAATGGTATCTTTCTAACAAAAATGGTGCTCCCAGGGTTTGTTTAACCGCCATTCCAGGCATGCCGAGCCCGTTGCTAAGTTACCCCACACCCCTGAGTATTCTCCACAACAGTATGAAACACAGGTCACAGCTCTCCCGCAGCCGCAGCCACAGCAACAATCATACCCACACATATATCCGAATAGGCATTCCAACACAATGCCACATAACTATCATCAACAGCAGCAAACTAATCAACTCCAAACACAATCAATGACTCAATTCGGTGGGCGCCAATCAGTTACTTCGCAGCAATCCTATACCCAGGACAACACGCACTCTAGTCGCAGCAGCCATCCTGCGAGTATCATATCTCACACCACTGTTCTTGCCCATGCGACACCGCCTGGGAACCCTCAGTCCTATGTGAACAATCCCCAGTTGCGATCTCAGAGCCCAATGTCGTTTATCCAGTTCCAGAACGGGCACGTCCCGGCAAACATGCCCGCTCAACACTCAGCCCGCACCCAGTCCCCCGATCCGACTCAGCATCCACTCCCCGACTCCGCGACAATGTCGCCAGCCGCTTCCCCACCACCCGAAGGCTCTTCATATCCACATAGGGCACCGCAAGATCGGAACTATAATCACACTCCATCGCATTATATCGCAGGCCCTGGCAAGTATATCGAGCCAGTTGAATTGCCCGTCCCGATTCCCGGGGATGACTCCAGCGAGGAAATTGTTATGTCCAGTACTGCATATCCTGGGCAAGAATGGCATCCAGAATACTATATGGACTACTAAAGCCGATACCCAGTGTTGTATTTTTGAAAGATATATATCTATACTTTGTTGATACCCGCGCCCAGTACCCTTCGGTCGGTTTCTTATTGCCTTATTCAAGGGATGGTAGGTATTCTTTTCTTCCATTTTTGACCATGTTTTTCATGTTTTTCATATTTTTGAACTTTATTCTTGACTTCTATATCCCCAATTGGTATAGCGTTGAACGCTTCATTTATCATTTGTATATTCTGGCTAGATTTTACTGTATTCCCTTTCGTTTTTACTTGGCCTTTTCCTTTTATCTCTATCTTCCCTATTCTCGGCTCCCCACTACCCTCCAGATTATTTCGGGCCATTTTTTTTTGAATCGTTTTCCTGCTTGGAACCCATGGCGCTCGATGCGCGGCTCATCTTTATCTTATTAGTTATGGACACACCTTCGCTTCCTATGAATCTTATCCCTTTCTCTCCTTTGTTCGTTTCCTGGTGAATGTAATGTTCTTACAACCTAGAGCTCTTGATCAGCATTTCTCATTGGTTTATTTTTATTTCGCTATGCCTTCGGTTTAAGCATCGAAAATGGCCGAAAAATTTCAGCTTCTCGATCCCTGAAAATAGATCCGTGAAAAAACCTTTCCTTGAAACAAACCCTATTTTGATTAACACCCAAGGTGGCAATTGATCCAGTCAGCTCCATTTTGATTCCCCAACCAGAATCGGGCCATAATCTAAAGTTTCAAGGGACGAGAATGAGACACACAGTCTGTTTTTTCTCCGCCCCTTCTCTCAGTTTCCAATGTTTTCTCGTAGCACTTTTCGTTCGCCCATTGACGTGACGTCATGAGGAACGGGTTTTCGAACGAGCCACAGCAACGTTATCGTTCCGCAAACCTTAGGTTGCCACAGCAACTGACGGATGAGAGCACGTGCCAAGCACACGGGGTTTTGAAATCCACAATGACGATGTGCTATTTTGACGTGAAATTCAGGCTGGACGCTAGGTCAATGAATTGAATGGGGAAAAATGTTACGAAGTGGAGGGAGAGCGAAAATTATTTCTGTTGAAACTCATATACTTCAATTGCACATCTATCAAAGTTGTCATGGGGATCATGGCGCAGCGATCTACATGGCTCTAGCTACCTTGTCTATCTAATCAAGAAACAATTGGCCTGTGAAGGATGTTGCCGTTGCAAAGAAAGGGGGGGGAAACAGAGAAGAAAGAGAAGGTAAAAATCAATATATCCAAAACCCGATTGCTTGCATAGAAAATGCAGAAAATGATAGCAGAGAGATGATCATCAAAGGGCATTCCAGGAAGGATGGCAGCAGCATATGCATTTGCCGGCATCTGCCGGGACGTCTTTGTATGTGGGTAATGTAATCCCTCACGGGGAATAGCGGACGAATCGATATCGTGTAAAAGAATGCCGACGCGGCGATGGGAAGATCGGGGATTGCCATTGAGAGCAGCTCTCGCGTGCACTCATGAGCCAAATGGGGTTGATTGATTTGGGACAATCTCCTTCCCTAGCAGGTTTTCAATGCAGAGGAAAAGAGGGGGTGAAGGGCTGGCGGTGGGGGTGGTGGGGTGGTGGGGTGGCAGTGGTGGTGTGTCGAGTTGAGCAAGTCGATCGACCAGGGCTGTAGGGATAAAAAGCCATCGTTGGTTCGTTAAATCTACCAGAACCATCCGCGGGATTGCTTAATATTGCTCAGCCGCTCATTGATGGCTTTCAGTTCTGCGGTGCGGTTTTCTTCACTTTGTTTCATCATGGCGAGATGGGCGGCTCTAAGGTCGTCGAAGTCCTTCTCGAGCTTGTTGTGCCATGGGTAGAGAACGAAGACTTGGAAACAGAGAGCAGAGGATCCGATGACGAAGTTGGTGAGGGAGAAGCCTCTTGTGATGAACATTGCTGCGGTTGTGTGTTTGTTTGTATTTTTGCTATTGGGAATGGGTTAGCTATGTTGTTTCCTTACGATGGTCGAAGCAAAATTATGCGCTGCACGTACCGTTGTTGGGATTCAGTGAGTGGGAAATGTCAAAGGAGTGAAAGCGACAAGTGTGGAAGATAAAGGAACGGGATGGGGATGGTTGAGTGAATTGGGTGCAGTGTTGAATTCGACGGCGGTTTAAATCCTTATATTGATTCACATTTCCGGCCGGAAAAACATTCGGCGTGGCAAGCGCTTCTTGTTCAGCCACAAGAATTCCTGAGGTTTCCTACAAGCCCTAACCCACGTGACCCACCCATAGATAGATGATTACACACCTTCAACCAACGTTCAACAGGTTATGAGACCCTTATTGCTATCTGTTCTATACCACTACCAAACATGCTATCCTCTCTTTCTCAAGTGTAGAGGTTCGTTCTGTGGGTAGTGGAAAGTCCTCAGCATAGGCACCGGAAGACCTTGAATGCATGTCCTCAAGATGAGGCAATCAGAAGTCCTCTCTGACGATGGAGGCACCTACTCCGTACATAGTATGCCATGACCAAAAGAGTCAAGAAGACATCACTGAGTTCTCATGACCAAGAGGAGCCAGCCATGAGAATATTCATTGTTCAGAGGTCTCTAGTTGAGATAACTGCTGTTCAGAACTTCTAGCTAGGGTAATATATCATTGTCAAAGTTCACTATCATCACACTCTCTAGCGGAGATGATCATAGAAAAATTGTCAAGTTCGGATTCTCTAAGTTAGTTGAGAATACCTGTTGTTTGGAGCCCCTAGTTGGGGTAACACCGCCATGTCAAGAAGAATCATCATCCAGATTCTCAAGTTGAGGATACCGAAGTTGAGATAACCGCCGTTCGACGTTCTCTATCGAAGGATGATGGGGCGCTCCTAATTTTGGAGCAAATGATTTCAGAGTTTCGGGTTGTGTACTGGGAATACAGAGATGGTGGGCATTTGTGTGCTGTGCATTGAATTTTACAGTTACTGATGTACAGGCACTATTCCTAATGAGGAAACAAGAGTCTGAATCTATCAAACCCTAACCCATGTGACTCACCACGTATACCTAGGTACTCTACCTAGTATAGCCGCTTCTAGATAACCTAGTCTACGCTGTATAAGCGAGCCGGCCAGATAGGCGAGTCGACCACGTCGTACTACAGCTAGCTTCTTCCGCCAAGCTTCTTTTTCTTCTTCTTTTTAGCCTGCGGAATAGCGGACATATCTGCCCATCAAATTTGTATGTACGGAGTACGGAGTACAGAGTACGGAGTAGAGATACCTATATTTGTTTGTTTCAAAAGTATCTTGTTGGGGGTCCCGCGGTTGATCGGCCCTTCTACCAGCAGTGCGCTGGTGGTGATTGAGCTCTTTTGCCCCAGTAGCCTACATATCTCCATACACCCATGCTTAGTAATCCTCGTTCCCCTAGCAATCTTCAATCAAGCAAGCTTTATGATAGACTACGTTAGATCATTACACAACATTCCCATTATTATTCCGCTGGGTTCGCTTGAGAGCAGCTTGTCATTATTTTAGCAAAAAAAGAAGAAAGAAAAAAAAGAAAGAAAAAAGAAAGAAAAAAAAGAAAAAAGAAGGGGAAAAAAAAAAAAAAGAAAAAGGAAAAAGGAAAAAGGAAAAAGGGAAAAAATTCCTTGAAGTATATGGTGCTGCTACTTAGCCATCGACCAGACGTCACATACTTTCCAACCTGGCATGCCAGGTTGAAATCTACTCATTCGGGCGGAGTTTTAACAAACCCCACGCTGGATACCAAATGCCCTCGGCTGTCCACTCGCTCGGCGCTCGGGCGTGTACTCCGTATTTGCGCGGGAAAACCCCGACATTCGAGAATCGCCAATAACCTAGTTACGGGTATATGAACAGGTCCCAGCCGAGATACGCGAGATACGAAGGCGGTGGGAAGCCTTGAAGGTTCACTCGTTAGCGGGACTACTACGGAGGCGCCTCCTAGTCAATCCGGGCCGTGGCTGGGACCTGACCTGAGTGCCCGGTGTGACACCGTCCAACCAAACCAATCAGGTTGGGCCTTTGTATCTCGAGCTCAATTACGGAGTATTATCTTCCGATTTTTGAGCGGGAAATAGCAAAAGCAATTCGATCAATCCTCTAGTTTTTGAAGGTACGTCATTTATCTTTTGATAGGATGTATTTTTATATGTTTACTGCTAGTTATTCCGCTACTATCGACACTGGTAAACCCCTTTATTTTCATTAAGGCCCCCCTAATATTTTAGTGGCATGCTAACCATCATTCCAGGGGGCGCGTCTTCAAATATCCCCAAGAGGCAGCCAGCTTCCTTTCTCATTATTATTATTTAATATTACACATTATTATTCTTCTTCCTTTTATTCTCCTATTTCAGAGACTATGCAGGAGACCCTCCTTAGCATCTTAGTCTGAGGGCAGAATTTATTTCCTACGACTCATCTGGCTATCCTCACCGAGGTACTCCCAATTTGGAGTCTAGTATGATTCTGATTCTTTGACATCTCTAATAAGCTGTTCAGGGAAAACCACCAAATCCTGATTAAACCTGAGTGGATACAAAGACATCCTCCATACTCCGTACTCCGTAACCTAGTACCCTAGTACACTAGGACTTAATACCATTCTGCCTATTGGTCATATATATCGTGAAAATCATTTCCTCCTAACCCTCTGTAGCCAAGAATTGGCCCCAGATTGTGGATGTACTGTGTAATCAATAGATCATGATAAAATTGCCTTGTGGTGGAGGCAGGATTTGAACATGCAACCCTGATGTCTCAGAAGAGCAATCCCCTCGTCTTGGGAGCGAGGCCACAATTAGCGTCGTGCCTTACCGGCTCGATATGGCCAATAGGCAAGCTGAATTAGGGGCTTCCAGCCAATAAGCAGTCATAAATTGGGGTGGCAGAAAAATACGCTAATCGCTCCCAGACGAGAGGATAATATTACACACAATAATAATATTAGTTACTGCCTCTCATTCGATTCCTGTCAAGATGGAATTACTTGCTGCTGCTACTACTCCACCTGCTACTGCTTCAGAAGCTTCTACTTCACCTTCTACAAAGCAATTAACACTGTGATCGACATTGAGATATCCTTCTTCTTCACGTCTTGGGTGAGGATATCCAATCATAATCTACAGAGGGTCGAGGTTATGATTAGCACTAATAAGAATTTAAGTTGTCACTCTGTTACTAGCATAAAGTATTTCCATTTCCTCTCTTTAACTAGAGTTTTAATGGGGTTAAATCCTGTTGTGCCTGAATAAACTAGCTATAGTTTAACTAAAGCTAGCCTAGTCCTAGGCTGCTCTGGAATGAAGATTCCTTGAATTGGTAATAGCATTATAGCTTAAGTTCTTAGCGCTTCGCAGTAATCAAAACTTTTGAAAGGATCCTCCGTATTATTGAAGAGTTCAATACAGCGTACACCTGAGAAGCTGAAGTAGCTACTTCTAAAAAGCATGCCAGCCTATTCCCCTGATCTGAACCCAATTGAATCTGTATGGAATCTTATAAAGCAGTGGATACCAGGAGAACCATGAGAATGAGGAGAATCTTTCTTATGATGTACTTCAAGAGGTGGTTAGAAATGCCTGGGACTTTACAGCAGAGAACCAGTTACAGGAGCTTATAGCAGAGATGTCTGCTTGACAGGTATCCAGCGTAGAGACAGGGGGTGGCTATACAAGATATTCATATTATTATTATTGAATCCGAACACACATTCAAAAATAAGAATGTCACATAAAGATGGTTAGTATGCCACTAAAATATTAGGCGGGCTCTAACGAAAATACCGGGGTATGGAAGTATGATGTATGATTAACTTTGACAAATGATCACTTATTGTCACTAATAATGGTATGGACAGAACCATCTCTAAACCAACAATTTGTAGATCCCTAAATATATCGGAAAGCAACCTTTTATCAATTGCAGCGAGATAAGCCGCATACCGCAATCTCTATATGTCGTATATATCGTAGTTAACAGTCTATATATATGACCCGTATCAAGCTAGGGGATTGCATTAGATTGGAGAGAAAGCGGAGGGAATACGCCAAGATTCTAGATCAGAATTAGGTTTCGCCTCAAAACTCTATCCACGGCTTAGTAATTTTCTTACCGCCCATAGACGACAAGCTTGCCTTCCTAATATGGTTAGTATGAGGGATTTGTTTACGCCTCAAAAGCGCCGGAGCCGCTGAGATAAGGTGGTGTGAGAGACCAAGCCGAGTCCGTCGCAAACTGGAGGGGTCCGAGGGAAGGAAACCGAGCTGAAAGCAGTGCGGAGTTGACAATGGAGGAGAAAAGACTTCCGGAAGGTGCGGGAGAAGGCTGGGTGGATTTTGCGTGGGCAGTTCTCCACCTTACAGGGATGCTAAATTATCACCGTCAATCTGCTCCATGCATGCATGGATGGACACCGTCCTCCTTCGGGCTTTGCCCAATCAACAGAATAAATTAACCAGTAATGGAGCTAAATTGCCGTCCCAATGGCCCTAGGCGCAGCCAGTAGCTCGAGGAACGCAACAGCCTTCGCTTGATGGAGCTTACTGGGCCAATAAATCAAGGCCATTTCACTGTCGTGCTAGCTGACATGAACTGGTCGGCAACGGGCTGCTAAATTTTGTCACGCGAGGGCAGCCAGATGAAGGTCTTACCGATCTAAATTCCCCGCAACAGTCTAGGCAATCTGGGTAGCTGCAGGATGGGCAATAAAAGGGGCATAAGATCTCACCTGTGTCACCCCTCGAAAATCCGGGAAATATAAAAGCCACAGCTTATCGCAGATCCTGTGACACCTCACATCTTCTATCCTTGACCAATCCACGATAAAGGCAGAAACACCTCTTCATCCATCATGACGAGCACGACAGTACTCCGCATCCCTGTGCTGCTGAGCTTGCTTGCTTTCCTGGCGCTCCTGACGTCTCCCGTCATGGCCGCCCTTCCCAAGCCGCCAAAGGACTGCGACGACTGTAAACCCAAAGGTCCTATCACACGTTACAGTGCGCAAGAGGTCATCGCCAAACTCGGCCTCGTCCCTAACATTGAAAAGGGTTACTATGTCGAAACCTTCCGGGATCCAGACTCCGTCAACAACCGTTCGGTCAGCACTGCCATCTACTACCTTCTCGAAGGCTCTGTCGGTCCTTCGTACTGGCATCGTATTGACGCTGCGGAACTCTGGCATTATTACGCAGGCGCGTCAATGAAGATGTACTTGTCACACAACGATGGCCAGCCGGTGAGAGAGCAGATCCTCGGGCCAAACATTTTCAGCTGCGAGAAGCCGCAGGTGGTTGTGGGCAAATGGGAGTGGCAGAGAGCGCAGAGCTTGGGAGCCTGGACGCTCGTTGGGACAACTGGTAAGGGAATTTGTTTTTCACTCGTAACTTGCTGGCAAGTGTTTTCTGTCTAACACTGCTTTAGTCGCCCCCGGATTTGACCCGAACGGCTTTGAGATGGCGCCACCCGATTGGCAACCTGATGGAGCGTGAAAACTTGCTCCACCATAACGTGGAATTGATCACTCTAGAACCGTCGACCGTACTGTATATACTTGCAGATAGAATATGTATTCATCTCATCGGTTGGATGGGCGTAATATTGGCGTTGGCTTTTGGCAACATTCAGTACTTCGCCGACGAAATAAATCTCAGAAATAGAATGAAGTTCCACTGAATACCTATATATACATACAACCTTGGATTTGATGCCTAAACTTCGGCTGAGAGGTACATGTAGAGCGTAACGGAGTAGGGAGAATATGGGCAACACTTGATACAGGGACGGACCTTGTAATGAGAGTGTGCAGTTGGGTCCGATCTAGCTGTTTTCTCCGTATTCCTGGTAGAGAAATGCCTTTCGAGGAAACCTTGATACAATTCGGGCTCTCCACCATGTCGATGAAATCGGCCAGTTCAGCAGCAGGTTGGATGCAAGCGATTCTATCAGCTGGATTGATTGTATAGTAACTTCCCGATTGGAAGAGCTGTTTGTTTCCCGTTCTCTCTCTGCCTGCAATAGACGCTGTTTGCGGCACGGCATGTTCCTGAAAGTCTACAGCGTATATCGGGTGGGAAAGGGAGGGAGCATTGAGCATTTGGCTGATTTTTCCACCCTAGCCAGTTGGAACCTTCATTTCCAGAGTCAAATACACGGGGCATTGAAGTATATATATGTGACGATTTCCGTGCTTGATATCGACTTTAATACCGATGGTCGATGGGCGAGAGACATGTGAGCGAAGGAGTTCCATGCCGCAGACGACGGCCCGTTTGGGAGCAATAAGCTTTTTTGCAGGGCTATGTAGTAATAACCTTGGAACCTTGGGATGGATGCTTTTTACTTGCCACGTGAGGTCGGCCATACTTCCAAGGTTATTCCCTCCTTGCATAGCAGAATCATATCAACCACTCCTCAGTTTCTATTGGTGCGTTGTAAAAATGATTTACTGGCGGAGGGAGAGAATGGTGCAGCAGTTCTGACCTAGCGTGCCGGGGTCTTAATCGATGTCTTGCAGCTGCACTTTATTGCCTAGCACATGTCTTATTTGCTTCTGCATTGGGCAAAATAAAGAAATAGGTCAAAAAGTGACTTGGCTGTTGGAGCAAAAGGCCACCTTGGTAAACTAATATGTCGGAAATAATTCAATTCATTGAACGTGTCCAGAATCAACCGTCTTCACTAACTTTATAAGAGAAGGGCAAGGAGAGGAAATGATGGAAACAGACAATGCAATTTTATTTGCCAAAGAAAATGACACAAAGGCAAGAGCTATAGGGAGAGAAGAAATTCAGTAAAACTCCACCGCCATGGGCCCAATCAATTACCGTTCCCGTTTTCCCCGTACTCCTTTCATGCGATAATTCCATCCCTGCTGGCTTCCTTGTATTGAGCCTCCGGAGACTATAGATATAATGCCTCGAGACAGCATATTGGAGTGTTATTGAGCCTGGGAAGTATGTGATGGTAGAGGATCACACACGAAAAGAAACTGGAAAAGTGGAAACAAAGTGGATTTCCACTCCATCTATGCCCCCGGAACATAATTTTTTAGCTCGAAAAGAAAATGATTTCGCCGTATCGCATACTCACCTACATACCCAGATACGCAAGGCATGGTGTAGAGGCGCAGTAGTTAGAGAAGTCAGGTTTTGTTTTAAATCACAGCGGGTAAGGTAAAAAAGTAAGAGAGGGAAGAATGCGAGGGAGGGAAGGGAAAAAGGATAATACTCTCACGTCATTTAAGCAGCAGCGCCCAACTTTGGGAAACTTGAACAGAATAGAACTAACGGGAAATAACTCTTTACCAAGCCTACTAGAGGACAGAGATGGTAGTTAAGGAAAGAAAAAGTAAGGGAATTGAATACGAAATGAGATACACAATTACAAAAACAAAACGGCGAATAGATTTCTTCAGCAATGAGGAAGGAGGGAAAAAAAAAAAAAAAAAAAAAAAAGAAAGCAGAGAAAGAAAGAAAGAAAGCTCCATATCTGGAAGAAATGGGGGAGAGGCGAGGGTTGGAAAAGGAAGTGGGTAGACGAGGCGGAAACGTCATCAAGCTTGAGCTAGCCAAAATAGACAGGAAAAGAAATCAATGAGGAAAAAAACCCGGCCAAGCTGATAGATGATTTCTTTTTTGTCTCGCCAGAAAGAAAGGAGCGCCAGAGACAAACGAGGTAGACAGACGCACAGAGACAGAACTCGGTTCATACAGATTCGTTTTTGAAGCACGGACAAGATAAGAAGTGGATCAGAAAAAGGAAAAGGCGAACAAAGGAAGACCCGAACCCGTAGAACAATGGTACATAGCGCGCGGGATTGGGATGAACTGGGCTGAGCTGGACGCAGACAGGGTGTTTTGTTTGGCTGGAAGCTTTAATAGGGTGGAAGACTACGTTGCATCATGTATAAGGTGTATTGGGGGTTCGTGAATTTTGTGTGTTTCAAACGCCTTTCGTATCTAATACCATTAAGGAGGGGGAAAACGAAGATTTTTTTATCCGCGGTGGTTTCCGCGTCGGCTGTTGCGTGGCTTGCTGCTCACGGTGCTCCAACCCTCCTCCTCGGGCTCTGCAGCGGAAGGAGAAGCCGCGGGCTCCGCCGCGGGAGCCTTCGGTTGCTGGCCTTTAGCCTGACCCTGAGGTCCTCTGGGTGGTGCATGGACGTGGGAAGGGCCGCGAGACCGCGGGGCACCGTTTCGCCAGTTCCCATTGGCTTTGCTAGGTGGCTGCTGGCGGGTAGGTTCCTTTGGTTCGTTTGGTTCATTTGGCTGCTCATTAGCCTGCTCCTTGGGGGGTTCAGACTTCTCATCTGCAGCTCCTGCCTCCGTTGATCCCTCAGCTACTGGCGTCTCTTCAGCCCTACGAAGAATTTCGATATTCTTTCCAGCCTGAGAAGCGCCAGAATCGTCTTCCTTGGCACCATTTGCGACGGTAGCATCGGCACTTTCAGTCTTGGCAGCCTGTTCCTTTGCCTGTTGCTCTTGTTCCTTGGCGGCTTTCAGTTTTTCAGCCTTTTCGGCCTTTGCCTTTTCCTCTGCTTCTCTCTTTTGTCGCAAGGCTAATTGACGTCTTTCCTCAACCTCTCGCTCCCTGGCGGAAGTATCAATGGGTCTTGCGCCACCGAAGGGGCTCGACTTTGAATCACCAGTCGGGGCAGTTGGGGATGCGGGCTCAGCTTCGACAGTTCTCTTTTGCAGATTGAGTTTGGGTCGCTGTGCAGGTGCGTGGGGTACTGCCGCTGGAGCAGCTTCAGGAACGGCGGCGGCCGGTTTAGGGGCGGGAGGATCTGGTCGCATTCTTGCTCTCCATTGGTTGTCCAGCTCAGGAGCGGTTGGTGCCCTCTCTGGAGGAGGTCTCTCATGGAACTCACGACGGGGTGGCCTCGAACCATCTTGCGAACGAGCCTCTCCCCAAGCAGGGGATGCTCTGCGGAACTGTGGGCCATCCTTGCTTCTCGGACGGCCACCTTCTCTGGCTAGAGAAGCAGGGGCAAGAGATGGAGAGAGGGGCCCCTTGCGTTCCCAATTTCCATAGTCTCGAATTTTACCATCAGCAGGCTCATATACCCGTCGTCCAGGGCGGTCTCCTCCAGCATCGCTCATAGAGTCCTGGCCTCTCGGTCCGAAACCTGGGCGGTCAGACACTCGACGCTGTGAAGGCACATCCGGGAGGGGACCCTTGCGGGACCAGTCGCTGTAGTCTCTCGTGTCCTGTCTCTCTTTGGCTGAATACAAGTGTTAGTAAGGTCTAGTTGTTATCACAAGTCAAGGGGCCCTGGACGTACGAGGTTCCGCGACGCTAACTCTGATATTTCTGCCCTGGAGGGGAGTTCCTTGAAACGAAAGGGCCTTCTTCAAGCCCTCAACAGTAGCGAATTCCACATAGCCGAAGCCCTTTGGAGCTCTAGTTATCTTATCCTCCACAACCCGCACATTCGTCACTTGGCACTCTGCAAACAGGTCCGAGATGTCGCCTTGCGTCGCCTCAAAGGATAGATTGCCAATATGGGCTGTATAAGGAGGCTGGGTGGGCATAGGAAGTTCCTCTCTGATGGCGTAGCCACGGTGGTCACGTTCTTTGACATGAAAAAGTCTTAGTTGACAGGTTCGCACAAAGTATCAGTTTGAGCCAGCTATCTAACATACCGAAACCTCCCATGTCGTTGCCATATCCGCCCATCATACGTCGTTCGCCGCCATAACTAGAACGGGGTTCAGGGACTGCTTGCATTTAGCTATACTAGTTCATTAAAGTGACCTTTATCCAAAAGGCCTTAATCCGAAAATTAGGGTTGCGGGCTAGATTTTTTTTCATACCGGCTAAACGGGGGAAATGAAATCAGTATCTATAAGTCAACTTAAACAATTGAACGAAACATCGTGACTTACCAGGCAGAGGGATATCATCCATCTCATCGGCCCAGGAGCCAAAGGCTACTCTCGGGTTAGTATTCCGTAAGCAATAATTATTAGGATGTACTGGCCACCTACTCTCGTCGGCCAAGAAGGTCCCAACGGACATCTTCTGCGCTTTGGGTTTTGCGGGAGCTGCAATAGAAAGAGTTAGCCATTGCTATATAATCTATCACACTACCAACCATAGATACTAGGATGACGATAGCGGTGGACTATTGTCTGGGGGGCTACCAACCCATGATGGCGACTTGTGTTCACGAAACGCGCAAAGGCGTGTGCGCGTATCTCTGGAGGGCGTAAAGAGCTGGAAGATCGGAAAATCTTTCAGCGACAAGGAAGGGAATCCGGTGGAGAATCACTGAGGCAGTGATTGGGAATGGGTAGGGTGATGTTGTCTGGTCAAAATGCGGCCTCGAAGTGTGAAGACAGGGGAAAATTGGATTGGATCTTTTGAAAGGATAAATTTTAGTGATGACGCTAAGGAAAAGTCAGCCTCAGTGCGTCAAGCAGCAACGAGGCGAAATTTAGCAACATGAGCCACAAACTTCCCACAACTACATTGGACGCAGCAAGTTTTTCCAACTCGCAGTCAACCCAACACTGTTGGCTTTATTATGGCTGATTGGGGGTAGCGACTTATTTGGTGCTTAATTGAATATTTGCCTCTCATTACAGCAGAAAGAAACTGAGCCTTGAGACTGGCGTTAATCAAAGCCTCTTTACTAACCCTCAACGGCAATGCCATTTTCTTGTTCGATAGGAAATCCTCAAGAGGCCAATATACATACCAAGGGTTTCAGTGTTTCGACTTTTCTTTGTACACTTTTCAATGTGTTTTATGCCTTGGCTAATAACCTTTCCCATTACCAGATTAATTGAACGCTCCTCTTAAAACAAAGCCCTTTCTCAATTTGAGAGTCAAAGTCCACATTCCCTTTTCGCCTGTGGTGGGACAGCTTTCGCGCCTAGATTTGGATGGAGTAAGGCGTTCGTCTCTGACGCACATACACGAGGGAATGTGAATAAAATACGAAACGAAAAATCATGTCGCTTACAAGTCAACCCTGGCTGACCAGCGCTTACATTCGTCCCCGTACAATGAAACGTACATAAGTGAGAAATTACGCTATTGGTCGCTAGGAAAGAGAAAAAGAAAATGGATGGAGATGGTGGTATTTAAGAGGGGTACTGGCAAATTAGCCTACCTCGACTGAGGCTCGTTGGATGCACTCTAGCTTATACGAATGGATCTCCGCGAGAATGAATCCTTCATATGGTATCTTATCCGGAAGCAAAACAACTCGAAAGGTGTCCAATGCGATGTTCGCTGGTATTTTGGGATTTATCCTGGACAAAGATGCCTGGAATACGCAAGTGCACAAAACCCGCAGACTGTTTATCTTCCGTGAAAATATATGTTTATATACCTTCTTCCAGCGTAATACATGGGCGACTTGGTCAATGCACTCAAGCAAAATGGCCTGACACTTTATTGGCTGTGGAAGGACGGTTTTATCTGGCTAGGTTCAGAATTGCCATGATTCTGATATCGTTTGGGTCTGGCAATTTTATTGCTTGAATAATAATAGAACGTGCACTTCTGTACTCTGCTTCTATGAGACAAGTACAGTGCAGCTTTAAAACAGAATTCAATAACCATTAGAAATTAGATATAAATACGTAAACGGCACTCTAATTACATTCTGCGGTAACAAGCGCCTGCCTTCGTATGCCCTGGAGGGAAAAAAAAAAAAAAAAAAAAAAAAAAAAAAAAAAAACAAATTCATCCACTATCGTTGATAACCTTCAGAGTCACGTGATGATAATACTCAAACTTCCTCCATGACGTTCATCACAAGGACAAGTGAAAAACAAACGGCCAGCATCACTATTCGACCTCACTGCTTCGCTAACCAAACGCCACATACGGCTGATTCGGCTGACGTTGAGGATGGGTGGGCAAAACGGCCATGATCATGGTTATCATGCGCAGAATTTGTGGACGGTGCTGCCCGCTTTGAAAGTTGGGGCTTTGAGTGGTAGGTGATCCATTTTTGGCCAATTGAAAACTGGGGGCGGCGGCGGGGATTGTTTGCATTTGATAGTACCTATTATTTTTAATTCCTTTCGTGTCGAGCTTTAACTATATGTCGGTATCTTTTCGTTCTTCGATTAGGGGTCTAATCTTTGAAAATACAGGTGCCTCCGGTCTCATATTTGGCGGGATAACGGGCGTTCTTCGTTCACCGAATCCGGCGATCCATTCGATCGCAGCCGGCCTCCATTGGTTTGCGTTTGGAACCTCGACATGGTGTAAGAAATTTTACTGTTTATCTTTTACGTTGTTATGATTCTTAGCTCAAGGTGTTGATATTGTGATAGGGCTGAGGAGTAATATCCTCAGAGTTCAATTTGATGACAAACCCACGGTGGGACAGCGGGCATTTGCAAGCTCAGTTTCTAGCGGATTATCGGGGGGAGCAATTGCGTTTTCTATCCGTAAGTTCGAGGCCCTGATTCAATGTGAAAGAAAGAAGGAAAGAAAAGAAAAGAAAGCAAAAGGGCTACATCAAGTGGTCCTTGTATGACGGCCCTCATATCTCTGATAATGTGGTATATTGTGTAGACCGACGTTTTATTCCCGGAGCAGTGATTTTCGGAATAGCAGGCTTCCTTGGACAGAAGTCGTATGATGTCATTCATGGATGGCAGTTATCAAGGGATCAAACAGCCCCTCGAAAACCCTTGTTCCAGCGTATGTTGGAGTCGAAATGGATGCTCCTGAAGCCATTGCCGGATGATGAGTATGTAGGGATGCTGAACGAGAAGCTGCTGGCTGTTGACGCTGAGATTGCGGTTATTGATGACAAAATCGCCGCTCTGAAGAGGTTGGAGGCGTCGTGAGATGGATTCCTATGTTTGATTCTATGACGGGTTCATTTTGTTCTCGTGTTGCATTTTTCTTCTCGCTATCTTTTTCTTGTTTTTTACTTGTATTATTTATATTTATATTTGTTTAATATCTTGTCTGAGGTTGTACATGTACACTACTAGCTCAAACTAGCCTATGTGCAAGGAGTTCCCGGTCATGTATGTAATTGGGCAACTCTGGCCTTTGGAAATAGACTCCGCGGATAATTGTTTGGCTGCAATGCATTCATAGAGAGTAAAAGCTGATTGCAAAAACGAGGCACGATCAAGGCATATATATACTTTCCAAGACTTCTTTGGTGTGGAAGATGCAACCGTATCTGTTGTGGTTGCAAGGGTGTCCGTAAGTTCCAGGGTGCGCCGGTCAGCATCTGGGCTCCGCTAAATGAAGCAGAACTAGTCTCCGTCCATCCGTTTGATGGGGCTTCTCTTGGTGTGTGGGATAGAACATACATACCTAGTACGTAGTAATTAGCACGGCTGCGTACTGCGTAGTTGGATGAGAGAAACTCGTTCGATAGTCAGGAAGCAGATAGATATCGGTACTCCGTACAGCAAAACCGGCCAGCACCCGCCCGTACAATAGTTAACTAATAATAAAAAGTGGCAGCAAACCGACCATGGTTCTGAGCGGCGAGAGTGGAAATGTCTGCTCCATTATTATTATTTAATATTATTTAATATTATTACTACTCCGTATCCATCGTGCGGATGTCTTTGGCTGCAAATCAACGTCGTACTAAGGAGTTCAGGAGCCAGGCAGTCTATTATTATTATTATTATTATTATTATTACTACTACTGCGTAACTTATGTATGTACCCCGGCAAAGGACCCATCGCGCCTCCTTAGGAGCTTCAGCCAACAGGAGCGGGTTGCAAGGCCGCTATTATCCCGCCAAGACAGGACTCATCGTACCAAACCACGCATCTACCGCTGTCGGTTCTGGAAGACTTCTGGGTCCGAATAACCTTAAACCACCACCACCCACTGCGGCCAGCTATCGCAACTCCAACCTTTGAACCCTATTACTGTGCTGTGTACTCCGTACAGTTCGCCCGTGCTGTGCTGCTCTCCTTGGGTCTCCCTTCTTGAGATTCTCTTGTCGCTTTTTTTTCGATTCCTGTATCGCAAGGACGCCGACAATGAGCCTGCTCCTCTCTGAACACCTTGCCAACTGTCGTAGAGCTTGTGGTAAACCAACCACTTTTCCTTTGTTATCGGCGTCGCCCGCCCCATCAGCTCGTGCACTATACCCCCTTGCAACGCCCAAGTCTATCCCGGGTCTGACTTTGGTTTCTTGGAACATGGGCTAAAATAAGGGAGCTGAACTACGTTAACATTTGTACTGACGCCCTTTCTCTTTTCTTTGCTTCCTTCTCCCTAGGCTCGAGGCTTCTGATCTAGATATACTACATTGCCCTCCTCCTCGATGTCATGCCGAATAACTTCTGTCCAACAGGCTCAAGTCTATCACAAGGTGCTGTACCACTTGTGATCCATCATGACGATCTGGAGCCCCACCGCGATCTTGGTAGCTCTCCTCCTCCTCTACCTTGTTTCCTTTATCCTCTTCGCCATCATCCGCATCGCCACTGGGGTTTCCATACAACGCGTAGGCTACTTCTCTCTCCGACGTATTGCCTACTCGCCAAAGGAAGGGGTTGAAGTTAGCGTCCGCCTACTAGGTTTATCTCTCCATCGACCATCGTTTGCGCAACCGACATGGATCAGCTTGCGGCTGAAAGAGCTGGCCTTGACTATCGATCCCCAAGTGCTTAACAGTGGCAGCCGTGATGCGACCCAGGCCCCGCAGAGCGAGGATTCCGATACCGGTTCGGAGAAGGATGATGTGTTGGGCGCAGGTTTTCAATCCCAATCCGGACCCGGTCATAAGACGCGGAGCAAGGCGTGGAAGCGGTTGACTGTGGTAAAAGAATGGATTAAGCGCTTGCATCGATGGATACAATGGCTGGTGATAATGGATGTTGTGGCTTTAGATACGATTCTCAAGGTTGTGGATGCCGGGGAGATCCATATTGGAAGACTCACGATGGCTGTTGACACAAGGAAGAAAATGATGGCAAGGGGGAAGCTATTCCGACACAAGAAGGATCCGCGTGGGGACCAGCGGCCAGCGGAATGGATTTTTAATGTCCGGAATATTTTACTTGCCGCGGATGGCTGCGAACCCGTCGAAATTGTGGACAATATTGGCTTGAACATCCATGGCCTTCTCCATAAGGATTTGGAAGGCCTGAGGGATGTCTCCATTGCCATTAAAGCTGGAAGATTACATGTTCCGTATGACGACTTGATGAAGCTGGCTACGAGCGTGAGGGCGTCTCTACCTGTTCCAAAGAATGCTGCTGGCGAGCCAACCGAAAACGGGATCTCCTTTGCAGATATCGTTGAGGAGCTCGATCAGCCAGGGAGCCGTGAAGAAGCGATCGTGCAGACCGTCGCCGATTCAAGAGAGTTTCTCAGTTCATTATTACGTGGAATACAAGAAATACAGGTAGCGCTGAGCTTCTTCCGGCTATCTCAAGTTGTCGAGAGCGTACATCCGAAAAGGCCGCTCTATCTCAATGTTGTCACCCACGAAATTGGGATTGATTTTCACCGGATGGATCCTAACCGCCCTGCTCATCGCATGTACTTTCAACGAGACGACATTGCCCATCAAGCTCTCCTTGCCGCTATATCATTGTCCGTTTCACTCGACGACAATATGGGAGAAACGGATAAGATCCTTTACATCCCCATGGCTACAACTACCATCAAGACCACGTTCCCCTCCAAGACTGTATCGTACTCCGAGAACAGAGGGGTTGCTGAACGGAACACCAATGTCCTTTTCGCCAATCTCGTCGTGACCTCCCCTTCTATTGATGTTGAGCCAAAACATCTGTCGCAAATACTATTCATCCTCCAAAAGAGAAAATCTCCCCCCCGAAGCAAGACCCGAAATAATCACATTATCATTTCTCATCTTCTACCAAAAGCGAGTATCAAATTATCGGTTCATGAGCCTGTACTTCGATTTGTTCTTCCACTTGCAGACACTGGCCAGGATCATAGTTACAATATGCTCGTTTCCTCCATATCCTCCATCTCCCTAGATATCGAATCGTCACACTCTGCGGAGGAAGGAATCCACTACTCCTTGTCTTCGATCTACCGGGTGGCTGCCCACCAACTTTATTACCAGACCTTTTTTGGATCGAAATATCGTCTATTAAATACCGAAACAATGGAAGTCAAGATCCACCTCAACGCATCTCCAGAAGTCTGTGTCGTCGCTTCCGGGAGTTTAAACACTTTTTCCATCCATCTGGTTAGTGGGGAAGTTAGCCGTGGTGTACATCAAGTAATCGACCAGTTCCATTCACATGTCCAGTCGACAAAGTTGTCGACATCTCTTGATGCCAACCCACCCAGCCTTCTAAGGCGCCTACCTCCGTGGCTTCTGCAATTCCAGTTTGAGGCTTCCGGGTTTAGTGTTGAAGTGGCTGGGATTGATAACAGCATCGGGACGACCACGCGTGGCATGGTTCTGCAGCTGCAGGGGTGGACGGCCGATTATCAATCGCAGAAATCAGAGCCACATCAAAGATCGGTAAAACGTCGAACTCCAAGCCATTCCACAACTACAGATGAACATTCGTTCCGATTCACCTCATCTTCTTCCGCCTCTCGAAAGTCTCTCCAAGGCCAGGCTGATGGGAGACGCTTGGCATTCCATGTTCGTGGCCTGGAAGGATTCGTGATGGAGTCTGCAGATTTCATGGAGCCAGAGTCGTTCATTTCTGTTCCCCGTTTTGAAGTGGCGTTAAGCACATCGAGCGACCTACAAGGCCCTATATTCCATATCAACTCCACTGTTAAAGCGATATACCTTGACTGTTCCCTTTATCGGTATTATGCTGTTGGGATTGCCGTTTCTGTATTACGGGATGCCTTTCTACGTCCACGGACTGCCAAACCCTCAGCCCCGAGTAACCTGCCTGGCGCGACGAAAAAGTTTGGGCCTCTTGACGCTCCCATTAGGCTTATGTCGGCTGAGCTTATTACCGTTGACATAAAAGCATCTCTAATCCAGATTAAATGTACGATGCCAGCGGATCCTCCAATGATGCTCCAAATATATGGATTCGCTGCTGGGCGCCACCGGTGGTCTGCCCCCTTTATGCGGTCACAGCTTATTCGCCTCCATGCCGAAGCCCCGAAGATACAAGGCACATGGGCTCGAATCGTGAGTGTTAATAACATTCGAGTGGGGTTGCGGGAAACTCGACGGAAGCCAGACGGGAGCGTCATTGAAGAGAAGTCTGTTGATGTTTCTACGGAGTTCATACGGGTTGCTGTACCTCATCAGATGATAATGTACCGCATATTCGACAACTTTATCAACACCGCCAAATCTGTGCAACAGCTGAATCATCGCTTCAAAACAAGGACGAACGAGTATGTCCTGGAAAAACACCCCGAGGGACCGAAACGTGTACCAAGGATTTCGCTTCGCAGTAAAGCTCTACTTTTTGAGCTGGAAGATGATGCTTTCGAATGGAAATTAGGGTGTATTTATCGTCTGGGTCTTCTAGAACAGAAGCAACGTCTGGCTCGAGAGGAAGCATTCTACATGAAAGCCAAAAGGCTAAAGGAACTCCAACAACGACAAGCATCTTCTCGATACCGGACGCAGTCGAGTCATGCCATTCCGGGCACTCGTTCTACGGCCCGTTCAAGAAAGAGGGGTGAGCAAGTGAGAAGCAAAAGCGCAGATGGACGACCCCGTTCCGGATCTGAACCGAGGGGACGAAGACCGACTCGGACTGTACGATATAATCCTGAAGGCGTGCCGTCGATATCGGACTCGTTCAAAGTTTCTTCCGAAGAGGCGCTGTTCAAATTACAAGAACATAATGCCAGGAGTTGGAGACTTCGAATTGATACCTCTATGCGATTTCAAAATACTGCGATTAAAGAAATTAGAAGTATGTTTTCGGGTGCAGATGAACCTCCCGAGGATATGCATGACGACGAAAATATCCTGAATGTTCCCAATAGACCTGGGCTCCTATCGGCCCTGATTAGTGATGTGCATCTCGTTATTGATAAACCTTCTTTCCCCATCAATGAATATCCACATTTCCTGCATAGGATAGGAAAAGGCATGCCCTTGGACATGAAGTATTCTCTATTGATCCCCATGAACATTCAACTGGACATGGGCGAAGCGCGAGCAAACCTTAGAGATTACCCTCTTGACCTACTACACATCCCCGGCCTTCGCCACGGTCAATCCCCCCGCCTCCCAAGTTGGTCTCTGCGGACCGATGTCGTGATCGCCGAAGAATTCCGGGACTATGAGTCCTCACGCCATGTTATGGTTAACATTGTGCCACCAAACGAAGGGTCGGATGGCGTCATGCACACTGGGTTTTCCATCGATGTTCGACGAACGGTATCGCCCGTCAAGACCTACTCAGATGCCATCTTTGAAATTAATACGAGTTTACCCACTAGCATATCTTGGGGGATGTCATATCAACCTGTCATTCAGGATATGATGAAAATCATAGAGGGCTTTTCGAAACCGGAGATTGACCCTTCTGAGCGTGTTGGGTTCTGGGATAAAATTCGTCTAAGTTTCCATTCTAGAATAAATGTTGTTTGGAAAGGGGATGGAGATGTTCACTTGCGGTTGAAAGGTATGTTCCCTCAAGTTAGGCCACGTTAGTTCCCTTAGTATACGTTTTTTTTACTGATATGTCAATGCAGGTTCTCGCGACCCTTATGTAGTCACTGGTTATGGTGCAGGTTTTGTAATGTGCTGGCGCAAAGACGTGCAGTGGGAGATACACACAAGAGATGACCCCAGAGAGTTTATGGCGGTCACAGGTGGAGAATACGTTCTCGCGATTCCGGACTATAGCCACCAAGCTCGCCATTCATACGATGCAACTTTTGATTCTGACAGTACATCGCTCAGATCATCAAAGGATGCCTCTCTTTTTAAAAAGGTTATCATGAAGCTCTCTGGGAATGTCCGGTGGCTTTCCGGGCTTGTTTTCGAACGGAATATCAACGCTTCGGAACGCTCGTTTGATTTCAAACCACATTATGATGTTGTTTTGAAGAACCCACGATACATACCCCCCGACGACCTCAAGGATTACGATGCTTTCCGTGGATTCCGAAGCAACCATATTCATTTGTCACTTGCTGTTGTGGCCCCAGTATCTCGAGTTTGGTCTGTGTCGAATCGCGAACCGTCAACAAGCTACAATACGGTCCATTTGACACCAAGGTTCTTCACGCACTTTTTTAGCTGGTGGTCACTGTTTTCTGGGGTCATGTCGTTGCCTGTTCGGCAGGGGCCCCTCTGGCCCGGTGTGACCAAAACGAGCAAGAAGTTTGGCCGCCATTTGGCTACTGTCAAGTATAATTTGTTTCTCTCCCCACTGTTTGTGGCGCATATTTACAAGCACAAAGATGCCGAGGACTACAGCGAGGAAGTGGTGTCTGCCACTGGAATTAAAGTTCGCCTCGACAGCTTTATGCTGGACCTCCATCAACGGAGGGAGCTAGTCAATGTGATGGTTAAGGGACGCTCGAAACAAACCAAAGCGAGCACCATGCGAATCAACCGAGCCCAGCTGGATTTCATTTCTGCAGATTTCAGAGCAGTATCGGTGGCTATTGCGGGAACAAACCTTGCAGACGTCGACGCTGCCGATGGCATCTTGTCCTCTTTTCAACAACCAACTGCTCCCGCTGATTTATCTCGATTCACCATTCCAGATCAAGACTTCAACTGGGTTGATATGGATGATTTCGTTGAACTTGACTGGATGCTCATTTCAGAGTCCAATCCTCGCACCCGAATCCTACCTCTTGCATACTCTCCTCGATTCTCTTATTTCCGACAAACAGACCATGAGGAACGGGGTGTCGATGAAACCGGTTACAGCCCCTTCGGAGACGAACCGTCACACCATTGCGTGATGTCACAAGACAATGATCCAAGAAGGGTACAGATGGAACTAATCAAGGAGCGCCTTGATAGTCTTGATGCACAAATTGTCGCCCACAACCGGATGATCGGAGAACAGGAACTACGAGTTGTTCGGGATAGTCATGCTGCTGATGGCCTCAAGAGCCAGTATGAACTCTTCGTTAGACAGGGTGAATCACTGCAGCGACGAAGAAAGTTTTTAGACGACGGGTTACAACGCCTTCGGAAACAGCTTGCGGGTGATGCAGAGTCGAATGGCCGAGGAAGTGAACGTAGCCACAGAACTCCAGCCTCAGCCATGGGACAGTCGCCCTCATCTGAACAAGGGAGCGACGATGCTGAGATCGATGGGCTCTATGCCTCACCAAATGACGAGTTCATTAGTGACTTCGACAACCGCTTCATCATTCACAATATTCAGTTGAAGTGGAACAATTCTCTCCGAAACATCATTCTTCGCTACATCCATCAGGTCAGCCAGAGACGAGGGTTTGTTTATTACATGTCTCGACGAGCGGTAAAGTTTATCCTGGATATCGTAGAAGAACAAGGAAAATCAAAACTGCGATCACGGGAGGCAGGCAAACAACCACCGTCTACGTCCGCGTCGCCGTCGGATTCCGATGAACAACAGCCTGACGACGATGAAATCTCAGTTGAAGATCGCATCGAGCAACTTCTTAACGATGCCAAACGTTTTGTTAATGCTGATGACCCGACACCTAAGGAAACGAGACGCCAGTCATCAATTGCTGAAGCGGGCGATAAAATTGCCCCAGACTTCACACCGCAGAACAGTTACCATCTTCGCCTGATCGCGCCACAGATCCAGCTGCAGAGTGAAAAGAATAAGAAAGCTGTCGCCCTCGTTACGGCCAAGGGCATGCAGTTAAAGGTTGTCTCGATCATGGATAAACATCGCGTATCTGATGATGTTTCCGGCCTGGTACAACGTCGGTTCACTCTAGATATGGACAGTGCCCAGTTCTTCGTAACCACCCAGAAAAGCTTGTTCAAACATCTTCATCTTTATTCCGGTAATAGGTACGGAAACGCGCCAGGCTCTGCATGGCCTCCTTGGGTGTCTCTTGAGTGCATGTTTGATTTCGACCTGGATCCATCTGGTTTTTCAAGAATTATCCAGAAAACTTCTGCAAGCCTGCGGTATGACAAGTACAATACACTGAGATTGAAGTATAATGAGAAGATTGCGAGCGAAAACGATGAAGATAACCCGGTAGACCTTCCAACCTACAACGAGGACCGGATGGATCAAATCTTGGTTGAGTTTTCGCATGTGCGGGCGATATGTGATTCTGATCAGTACTACTCCATGTATATCATTGTGCTTGACCTTCTACTTTTCAGCGAACCGCTTGAAAAAGTACGAAGCGAGAAGCTCGAAAAGATCATGCTTGCCTCGGATTTCAGTGACTTAAGAGGTGCTCCTCAGATGGTGAGCCGCCTGCAGCAAAGGATACGTCAACTCGAGGAAATCAAGAATGTGTTCCAAATACAAGCCAAATACCTCGACTCTCAGGGGTGGCAGGATTGGATCGCGCTGGAACGTGATTTAGCACTATGCGAAGATGAATTGTTCTTCATCATGAAAGCTATCACGACCTCACAGCGCAAAAGTGAGGAGCGAACCGTGTCACACTCGAGTGGGGTCTTGCGCTGGGCCTTGTCAGCATCCGAGCTCGTGTGGCATCTAATGACGAGCCCTCAAGAGCCTCTTGTGGAGTTCCAATTGCGGAATGCGTCGTATGCGCGGACTGACAACATCGATGGGTCGAACCGGAATACGATAGAGATTCAACAGATCTACGGTCTCAATCTTCTCCCCAGTGCAATCTACCCGCAAATGATTGTTCCCTACCTGGATGAGCACAGAAAAACTCCGCAAAACGAGGATGACAATTTGCTCAAGGTCGATTGGTTCATGCTCGAAGCTGTCGCTGGGATACCTGTATTGAATCATTTCGAAGTAACTTTGTTGCCATTAAAAGTTCAGCTGGAAAGGGAGCTTGGAAAGAAGCTGTTCGAATACATTTTCCCCGGGATGGGCTCAAATGCGTTTGAAAACGGGGCGTTCTCACCGTTCATGATAAAGCACATGCGCCCGCAAGAGGATGGGTCGGATAGCGAAGAAGATCATACCGAACCCGCGACTCCCGCCAGTAGCACTGGAAGCGGCTCTGCGGATGACGCCCAGTCATTTATTTTAGGCCCTGGTGCCATGGAGAACCGTTTGAAACCCACTCTCACGTTCTCAGATCATCGCCGATCGGTTTCGCCTTCGCAACGAACCAAGGGCCTTGCGATGACGCCCCTCCACAAGGACAATCCACGCAGGCATCTAGCTGCGGGCGACAGACCACGATCGGCATCTCGCCCCTCGACAAGTCGTATACCAAGGAAGGCATCTGCCGATAATCTCCGCCCCCTGAGTAGGAATGCCACTGACAGATCGTTAGTGTATGTAAACGGGGCTGAAGAGAGGGGCAAGAAATTCGGGTTGGCGAGGTCCTCAACCAAATCTTCCACTACAAATGGCGATAAGACCTCCGATGACCTATCCCAGATGATGTCCCGTGCTTCTAACTTCATGACTTTGGCTCATGTTAAAATCAACGATGTTGTTCTCTGTTTGAGTTACAAAGGGAAAGGGGAACGCAATATCGAGGATGTGCATAACTTCGTCTTTAGGCTTCCCGTGCTTGAATATCGGAATAAGACCTGGTCAAATCTTGACCTTGCTCTACGACTTAAAAAAGATGTTATCAAAGCACTCATCTCTCACACTCCCGCAATCCTTGGCAATAAACTATCACATCACCGCCCAAACAAACAGCAACAAATACGTCTGCGTGAACTCGCTTCCTCGACCCAGGTCCTCAGCGTATCTGACAGCTTCGCAAACACACATACCGCACCTTCTTCAGATGGAGGAGGCAGTTTCATCAGTCACAGCTCCGCCAGCGAAAGATCAGAATCCCCCCCTCGTCGTTCCTTCACCTCAACTGCCTCACCCCTTGGCCGCTCAAATTCAGTGACATCTAGTGCAGCGCGATCTTTAACGATGCCTCACATCATATCTGACTCGCGGTCCGCCAGGAGTGAAAACATCGATCCCCGCGATGATGTATGTGATCCCGCTAATCCCTTGAATAGTTGACCTTGCTAATCAAATTGCTGTAATCGGTATGTAGGGTTCCCACCTCTTTTTAGAATCGGTCCCGAGACCCCGTACGAGTGATAATCGATCTCTACGCCAACTCAATGGGGGTGGGGATGATGATGATTCTCTAGCCGAAGGGTGAGCTCCACCTCTCCGTGCGAATTTGCATTTCCAAGTTTTACCACGTTTTCACGTTTTTGGCCGATGTTTCTTAGCATATTGGAGAGTGCTCAAAGAAACTGACATGTTGCGTCTGTGTCTTTCTCTAGACGACGGAAAAATTCTCTGGCCCGTATAGGACAGAAGCTGATGGGCTCTCGAGAACCCCGTGGCCCTTCCCTTGAAAGAAAATGAAACTGGCCCCATAAATCTTGGCCAATGGACTTTCTGGGCCCTACCCGTGTGGGGCACCGCACCTTAAACGAAACACTCAGATACCTTCCTAGTTTACATCCCTACTCTATGGCTTTCCTCAAAACGCTAAGCCCGACACCTACTTTCAACAATAACCATCTCATTCATAGATAATCACCCTCTTTCTTATCTTATTTCTTGTTTTCTTGACATCAGTTGCATTGCGGGTGGGACCCCAACATTGGCAGGAAGAGATATGTTTTAAAACACAGCATATAAATGGCGTTTCTCAAATCTCCTTGTTGTATGGACGGCTTGACATACGAACTCTTTTATTACCACTACCCTTCTCGCGTTTATTGGCCCTACTTGACCATTGTGTGTTGTTTGGGTGGATATCTAAGCTCTTGTTTATCTTTTTTACTTTCTTTACTTTTTTTTTAATTTTCTTTTTCATCTATTCTTTCCTAGGTTCTCAGATACATGCATGCATCTTAACTGGGGTATACTTTTGCTTCTTGTTTTGTCTAAGTTTATCCCTTATCTATCTGACAGCGTATCATTCCTATTTCAACATTTATACCAGTTTTCATTCCTGGACAAAGGGACTCATTTAGGCGCACAGTTCGCAGCCCGCTTTATAAATCTTCCCTTTCCAACGCTACGGAAGAAGCGAATTATGGGGAAATTTCCGCCCTGCGACGACATATTTATTTTAGAAAAAAAAAAAAAATGAAAAAAAATGAAAAATGAAAAATGAAAAATGAAAAGAAAAGAAAAAAAGACGAGAACTCGTTTTCCAACGAACGCTTATCCTTCCGTGTTCTATGGACAATATTTCCTCTACCTTTCTTCTCTTCCTTTTCGCCTTATTCCCATCTCGTTTCCTAAGAAATTATTTAGCATATCGCACGCATATATTCAGGTGTCGGTCAGTCAGTCAGTTGATTTTGTGTATGGACTTGGGACTCTGTCTTCTCTCTTCTTTTTTCTCCTTTCCTTTCTTGTCTGTGTTACTGTTTCTTTCTTCTTTCTTCCCCCTTTCTCTACTTAGCCAAATTTATGCATAACCATCTTGCATTCATGGAATTTCCCTTTTGAGAACACGAGTTGCTTCCAACACCTGTGATAGAGTGTCCAAAGCGAGAGCTAGGTTTTTGCCGAACAAATAAAATTTTGTTGTAGTGCTCGAACTGTTCTATTTACATTTCGATTGGTATCCTGATTGAAAGAGCATACATAGGCTGATTAGTAGCTTGCTCTACAAGTGTGATCTGGGCAATTGGGTTATGAGTCGCATATAGATACGTTCGAAGAGTTCCTACGGGCAAGGGTGAGCGGAATCGGATTTGCGAGCTTGAAAGCCGTCCTGTGTAAAAAGAAAATCGCTTCTTCGGGTGTTTCATTTATTTAATTTTACAAGCATAAGTGACTAATTACAAAGAATAACTAAGAGAACTATTATGGTGCCAAGAGGGAATGGTGAGAGTGAAGGGTATGTCTGTGGCAGTTACAGCAAGGGTGACATCCTATTTTTTCATAAATACATCTCCATTTTCGCAAAAAGAGAAAGAAAGAAAGAAAGAAAGAGGGAGGAAAAGTACTATACATTCTATCTATGAGGTATGGTAGTTAAGATACCGAAAGCTTGTATAATCAAACTTCTTCGCTTGTGGTTAACGACGACGTGCGGTCTGCCTCCCCACCAGTGTTCTGCGAATCTGGATTTTGAAAGGGGTGCATGGAAAACAAACGCCCAGATGTGGAGAGGAGACGGGTTCTCGGTTTCGGGCCCAGAATGTTGTCAGTATAAGGCTCCGTATCTAAGGTGATATTTTCTGCCCAGGCTGCCTTTTCTTTCCGTAGATCTGCCTGCACCCACGGAATGGTAATCAGGGTCCATATCCCAGCCCAAAGGATTGGGAGGCTCCATCCTATCTGAATGTGTGAAGAAGAAAATATGTTAGAAATTTCGATATGAAGCTGAAGTAGATGTCATTTGGTATTAAACTCACCACATAGGCAACATCTCTTGGAGTTGTAAATATTAATATAGTTGACACCGTGGCAAAGACAATTGATCCACCTGCCCAGAAACAATTCATCTCGAAAAGCATCTGTCTAAAATATGGGCTTGCTAGGTATCTGTTCCGAAGCGCTCGTCGATATTTCTGACCACCTGCACCATCCACCGCAACGATATCTTCTATTAGAACATATAGCGCGGTAGGCATTACGGAACCTTTGGGTGTGGACGATATTCGGAATGGCGCTTGGTATCCTTTAGCGCGGAGGATGTCAAGAGTTAAATGTACGATTCCGAAGTAATACATAACTGTAGGTAAGGGCATTGCGAGGAGGCGGACTAAAGAAGTTGATCATGTTAAAATGGAGGTTGTTAAATTGGGCATGTAGGATAATGTAAAAGCACTGCTTACTGAATGGTTCCTCTTGTACGGTTCCTCTAATATCGAGTTAGCTAACTGCCAAAGGGTCATGCATACGAGAAATGAAATGACATACACAATTAGTTCAACGGCGAGGATAAGCCACACTATGGTGAAGTTTATCTGGAAAAAATCTAACTGCAGACATTTCATGTTAGCCTCATGAGGTGCAAAAGACCACTTTCATACAACTTACCCATGATCGCCGGGCATTGAGTGGCCTTACGACAGACCCTTTCCTATACAGTGTATAAAATCGGTAGAAATATTCGGCGACAGCAACTCCACCCAATAGAGCCGTGCTTATAGTGAAAACTAACGGTGAAATGGAAGCATTGTTAGCCAGGCTGTTCAAAATACTCGGGGCCTCAGAAATTCCTACCTATATTGTGAGATAGGTCGGTAAGATACCATAACGTGAAATAAAGTATTAACGGCTGAGCCAGCGTGTCAATGACAAACATAATCCAGAAAAGTGTGATTGACCATTTGCGATCCCTCAAGGAGTAGGGAAGTTCCGGCGGGCCTGGAGCTGGCGGAATTGTAGCTTTGTCCATTTATGGAAAGTGTCATATACAGCATTCATATCGTGATAAGTTAATAAAAAATCTGAAAATAGGCAAATGGCTCGAAGAAAAATATGGATATGGTGTTAAGTTAAAGTTCAGGGCCTTCGAAATTGAAGTGTGAGGGAGCGAGCGGATACCAAGGCATGATCGAAACTATATATCCCGCGTATCCAAGATATTCTATCTATCTATAGCATCCGACATATTCATCAGTAAGCACATGCGTAGGAAAAAAAAAAATGACATCATTGCCACTCAAGGGCGTTGACATCATCGGCATTGTCGTGATTGGCCAATTTTCTTGAAAACACCTTTGGACGAACTCAACGTTCCCGGCGAGGGAGCAATTGGGCTCCGATATGTACGGAGCGCGGTGCAATAATAATGAACAAAAATGCAATCTAGGTGATTCAAGGCCTAGCGCTTTCAATTTCTGTATGCGAACCTTGCGCATTGCCCTCCTAGACTCGTAGTCTCGAGTGACAGCATCCAGGACATCGTGAAGCGAAATAAAATTGAGCCCAGAGGACAGCCTCTTTGCGTTGCAAGAGTGCCTCATAGTATTTTCTCATGACCTCTCTAGCTTTGTAGATAACCGCTGACGAATGATCAGCTTGGTATAGCCTGAAAGGAAGTCCTCCGGTTTCAGACGAAGGGATTGGATTAGCCTGGCCTTGTTGGTTTTATGTTCCATAGAATAAATATTATCACGGCATGCGAAAGCCAACAACATCCGGATCGCGCAAATTGATGATCCCCAGTGTCAGGCCCGGCTAAACCTTCCATTCGACAGTGAGATCATGTGAGTGTGCATGTGTTTGAATCCCTGCTAATTAGGAATTCAAAGCATCTACTGCGTATATAGTTATATATGTGACCAATATCAAAATCACGTCCGCAGTCCACAAATCACGTGACTATCAAAACCCAAGGTTGTTACGTAAATTTTGAGTCTCGCCACAAAGCACAGACCACCTACAGATTTGCGGAAAATATCAAACCCAACAAGCCAACATCACTCCAACGACGCAAGTTCGAATCCCGTCGCGGCGAAAAAGCAGGATGGCAGAAAAATATTTCTGATATTGAATTTCCCCGTTAAAAGGGGGATAATGCAAAGATGGCTCGGAGTTTGAGAGACCTTATCGAATTTTTGCTCGCGGAGATTTCGCTCTGTGGCGAACGAGGTGTGTTTTCCCCTTGCGCCAGTTCTTGCCCCTTTTTCATCCCTTACACACCAGTGGTCAAGATAAAGAAATGGTGATGCATAATGCATTTGATATGTTAGTCAATATCTTTGCAATTTATAAGTTTGTACTTTAACAGAACTCTCTTACTTTTGCAAATATGTTTCATAAGGGCCCGATGTTGATTTCCGGGAATTAGCACTTCTGGCTTTCCAAGTGCAGATGTACTAACCGATATATACAGGCGCTTCTCCTACGGATGTCCTTGCTTTTATTGATGACTTCTATGCCCAATCTGCAACCTCGAGTAATCGCCCTGCTCAACTTGCTGGAGCTGTTGGCCGCACGCCAAATGTGGACCGTAAGTTCAAACAAAAAGCATGGGTATGGCTGACCAGGCACCCAGAGGTTTCTGTTGGCCAGAACAGAGAAGGAAATAACCTTACCCTGGATGAGGTGAAAGGTCGGTGTGCCAAAAGCACTGCGGGGGAGCCATTTCCCAATTCACAAAATACTCAAACATCCGGAAATGGTGGCTCTTCTGCTGCTGAAACTCAGATACAGTCAGATTCCGACGACACACTTCGCGTGTTCGTTTCGGAGGAACGAATGTGGCTCGCGATCGCTGGGCACGAGATCGATCATTCAAGAATTCCTCCTCTGGAGTTCGCTCTTTTATCTATAATTGCTTCCCGGAAATGGCAAGGGATTATGCAGCTGGAATTACCTAAACTGAGCGGGCAAGATAAGCGCTCCGTCCCAAAGCGAACAGATTCTTTAAGCCAGAAGGGATATATCGAAAAAAAAGCTATCCAGTTTAAGTCGTCTCGTACAAGTTTATGCACACTCCGCCAATTTCTTCACTCGAAACCCTCAGATAAGCCTGGTGGGATGTCTGAGGAGAATACGAGTCCTGCTCCGGATGAGCTTTGCAATGTGATTGAGTTCCCTGTCCTCCTCGAAAAGCTATTTCATTTCCTGAAAGAATTCAAAGTCATTACACGGAGTGACTTGAAGGTAAAGCTTGGAATGGAGGATCACTGGCGCAGAAGGATTTTAGGAAGGGCCATTCGCAAGTTAGAAAGAATAGGTTGTGTTCGTCGTGTTAGGGCAGTGTCTCAATACTCCGATAAGATGAAGACTCGACATCAGTCGGTAATGCTTATCCGGGAACTTACCGATAATGACCTTCGAGTTTTCCTCGAAGACAGCCGCACCCTGATGACATACTTGGAGCAGGAGGATCTGGATGCTGCTGAAATGGACCAAGACCAAGGCCAACAAGATACGATTGATGAAATACCAGAGGTTAAGAGAGACGTCAGTACACCTGAAGTGGAATATTTGGAGCAGATGGAACGGGTGGTACCTAGATGGACTCCAGACCAAATTTTGCCAAATTTGATATTTGACATTGTGCACAGAAGTGGGCGAGAAGGGAGTACTAACTACGTAAGTGAGGTGAAAAGGCTTGTAAGCAATATTTGTCTTGAAACTGATTTGAATTATTCAAGGATATCAACATTGCTTGTATGGGACCATTTTACAGACGACCAATCGAGTATACAGTGAGTCGACTTGTCGAGACTTGGCAGGTTTCTCAGCCGCTTCATCTTCGACATCTCGCCCTGGTTCGAGATGTAGGGCTTCGTGGCACGATTTCGATGTATATCCATTATTCATTGCGAAATTTTAGTTCACTCGTGGACGAGGGCCAAGTGTCGTGGGAAGCAGTGAAACTTTCACCGGAGGCAAAACCTAGTGTCAAAGTTCCTCCTGTTGGTGCTACATCCCAAGTAGATGAGCACGGTTTCCTTGTGGATAAGATACCATCGAACCTCCTGAATAATGGTGACGCAACACTTAGAGGCTGTCTTGAGGTTGCGAAACCTTCGGATTATACTCCTAAGATATTCGACCCTGTTGTTAGACAACGTAATGATGGGAGTTGTGGTACGTGATGGCCCCAATATATGAAGTGATCTTATACTGATTCTTTCAAAAGCTGTGATTTTCCGAGGCAGGGTGTTGGGTGGAGAGCCCGAAAGATCTTCTGTTCATCTCGGGTTAGCCGGTTCATCAGCCGCCGAAGCGGAGACGGCACCAAGTACTATTTCTCGAGGACGGAAGCGTAGGGCTGTAGAAGCAGACCTTGACCGGCCAGGAGATGTCGTGGAGGACGTTATCGACAAAGGGAAAGTTGGGGGATCGTCGAAACGCCAGCGAAAAGTGAAGGAATTTGTTGATCCTTTTGCCGGTATGACTGAGAAAGAGAAGTTAGAAGCCCAGGGATTCGATGAGACTTGGACCGAATATAGCGTTCTTCTACTTGAACGGCCCGGAGCTGGTATCTTTCTAACTCCACCAGGCAAACGACGACCCATTGGGAAAGCTCGGGGTCGCCCGGGGCGAAGTCGCATTGCTGTCGTCAAATCAGAGAAACTGAAGGACCTTGATTGGTTTGTTAGCCAAAAAGATACTGAAGCTACCCCAGATGAACCCACGGAGGATTTGGAGACTAGTTTTGTAGCTGTCAATAACGAGGAAGCCGTTGCGGATCGATCTGTATCATTACCTCACCAAGAAACGGAAACCTCTCAACCCCCTGCGGCCTCCTCACCACGGCTGGTTGATCCATCTCAAAGAGGAGAGGATAACGATTTTCAGGAGGTACCTCCTCTGGTTGTTGACACCGTGACTAGTGACCAAATCGACAATCCTCTGGTTTCTAATAAGAGGAAATATACCGACATGGATGATGGTGAAGAAATATCCATGGCACCTCAAGCCGCCGGGCTTCCGCATAAAAAAAGGGGAAGGCAGCTGCGAAAGGGCCATCAAGCCCCGATTCCAGGGGGTGACAAGGCTTCTGGTCGGGACGTTAGAACTAGTCCGGCCGAACCAAGTGGGCGGGATTCCACTATTCCCCAAGCTGGGGACGAGCCGATGCAAACTTCACAAACTACAGCGGAGGATGGGACCCCCGCCGCAACTAGGCGTGAGAGACAACGAAAAGTTGACGACATCATTGTGAGCTCTGAGCAACCAGAGTCGCCTCAGGTAGTTGAAGATATGCCTAGTGAGAGTAATGGTGGACCCCCCCCTGAAGATTTACGATCACCCCCAACCCAGCCCTCTGCTACTACTCCTTCCCAGGATGTATGCGAATCAAACGATACACATAATGATATCCCCGAGCCCAGAGTGGAAAATAAGGATGCCAAAAGTAGCAAAACCCAAACCCAAACCCCAGAAACAGCCTCTCGCGCTTCTAAGCCCGTATCAGTTACTACTAGTGCCAAAACCAAGACCAAGAAAATAGATACTCAAGGGGGATCCATTGCGTTTCTTCGGAGGAAGATTGTCATGGATGTGGTAGAGAGCTCGGGCGGAGTGTACCCATATGGCACTGAGCTGTGGTACCCTTTCACTACCGCTTGGTTGAAGACTAAACAAACCGAAAGGCCAGACTTTCGCACACTTCGAAATTCAGTGAAATATATGATCGAGAGCGGGAAACTCCGCCAACTAACTTTCAGTGGGAGGAACAGCAAAGGGCTAGTGGTTACAAAGTCCATTATTGCAAAACCAGAAATTCATGCAACGGATCCAGCAGTCATAGATTTACAGAGGGCAATATTATCAGCCGACCCCCAGCAATACTTCCCCCCTGGCCCAGAGATTGATCCAACAATCAGGAAGTCACAAAAAATCACACAGTTGCCTGCAAGAAAGCTCCCCGACATTGAAGAAGAGATAACCGTTACTTTGCATCAAACGCCAGCGAGAAGTCGACCCCCTGAAATGAGGCCACCCCGGGCCCACAAACCAAAACCAGGACCCATAAAACGGCTTCGAAGTACTAAGCGCCGATCACATCCATATTCCGTTCTAAACTGGTTAACGTCACCAAACTCGGGCCTTGCAACTGGAACACGGACATCTGACGCTTCCAGGAGGCATCCCCGGTCAACCGCAAGGCTGCCACCAGATGCAATTATTTTCCATACGTTCCAATCATTCCATGCTCCAACCGGCACATTTGGAACCACATTCGCCCATACGCAATGGCGTAGCTTAACAACAACGGGACCCCGATCGGGCCAGACAATAATGAGCTTACCCGGAGACCTTGGAGATATTCTTTCCATGACGAGGAAACGTCAGCTTGATACGTCGAATCTCCCCGATCCTGTTTCTACCCGGGTATTTTCCGAAATTGATGCCGTAGGCAGATGGGAATCTAGGCACCCTGAACTATTCGACTTGCAGCGAGCTGGATGGAGATACATTAACCATGGGATACCGGGACCATTCGAGAGTGCTCCTCTCGACGGCTCGATTCGCTTTGAGGCGAATGAATCCCGACGGGTCTCAAAGGGACGACAAGCACCACTTGCCCAGACTCCACTTCGGACCCTGACATCATCACCTGCCGGGGTAACTCCATCAGATCGCCCCTCCGCTCGTCAAATCGCACCTCGTGGTCAGAGGCGGCCCGAACTACCCGTCAACAGACGTCTCGAACAATTCCAGGAGCCCAAAGCAGAGAAACGAACACCCAAAGCAACGGCTCCGACTGTTCGAAGAAGTAGACTCATCAAAGTTCTATCTAGTGATATTGTACAAAAGCTTACCGTTGCGATCGTTGTTGTTCGAACCTTAGCTGGTGGACTCGAGGGTAAAATGGTTGACTGGCAGCTTGTTACATTAGCTTTCCCAGATCACGACCCTAAATTAATCAGAGATCGCGGAAAGGCCATCCTTTCGCGAAATCGACTGCAAATGTCCAAAATGCAAAGCGATTTTCAAGAGCGGTTTGCAGAAGCGTACGAAAAGGACCAGGTACCCCGGATCGATTATGGTGACCTTCCCTCGTATGATTGGCAGTGGATCGTTGATTGGGCGAACAAGCAACTTGAAGGCCCAGGTTCAGATAACCTTCCGAGCCTACCAGCTACCCGCCAACAATTCAATAGCCTCTTTGACGTTCGCCCGGAACCCGTACAAACGCTTGACGAGCTGTTCCAACATAACGCCCCAGCGACGATTCCGCGAAAACAAGCTTTGCTAGCTGGAACAAACTTTGTAATCCCCGTCACTAAAACAGGCACGAAATGTGAGCGGCAATGGCCAAGAATTGAGCGCCTAAACATGGCTAAAACCTGGGTACGAGCGAACGTGATCACGCCGGAGGAGTCATATAACCCAGCCGAAGCACGACGCATTCTCGAATGCCTTGGTGAGGATCTCATTGGACAAGCGATACAGTCACTTATCACTGAACGGGTTATCTCCATGGGCAACAGGGGCCGGATTACTCCAGGGCGAAATTACGACGTCACAGAATACTTCGTGCATACATTCGGGCGCAAACGTGCCATCGAAGCAACCCAGCTGAAACGCGCAGTGACTTTCAAAACCACAATCCTGGACACACAGTTACATCTGGAAGGCAGATGCGCCGTGAACTACGACGCTGAGGACGGCGATATCCTCGTGCTAATCAACCTCTTCGCCGAGGGGCGAGTGACAATCTGGCCCAAAAACCCGCCACGGGATAAATACGGGCTGACAGACGGCGGCTACCTGACGCGCCTCATGGACAAGGGCAAGCTGCGCTTCGACGTCGACGTCCTTCCCGTCCCCGATCGCTACATCTACGGGAACCCTGTAAAACTGCCCCCAACAGCCCCGAGGGGCGATATGCCCGCCGACTTCCCCTTCTCTCCATCCACAGGCTCTCTCCCCTTCTGCAAGATCCCGCTCTGGTTCGATATCCATGGCAACTTCGTTAAGGTGCTTTGGGATCTGGTTGTTGCGGCAGTCGTGGGCTACCTTGCGTCTCGGCCGGGCCTCACCGCAGCTGGCATCAGCCGTATATTCCAGCCACATATTGCCGAGTGGGAGGTGGCTTTGGTTTTGGAGTGGATGGAAGAAGCTGGGGTCGTTGAGAGGCTGGGTGGGTTGTCTGGCTGGGCGGTGAAGGAGTGGTGGTGGATGGTTGTTCAGAACTGAAGGGCTTATCTTATCATGTACCAAGATTGAAGCTGTTTCTAGAGTCATGTTTGTACATACATGTACAAGTATCATATGCAGTACTATAGTTATTTTATACCTTTTGTTACCAGAAGGCTGGGCCTCTGGGGATCTCGTTGGTAAGTAATGTTAAATTGTTATGGTGAAGCGGAAACACGAACGAGAGAACATTTCTAGTAAATCTTGTAAATGAAACGATTACAATGAAAATCCTCAAATCCTGATAGTATATATATATACAGCGTAGGTCAAAAGTCAGAGATATGATCAAGTAAAGATATCAGAAAGAACATGTTCGGTCCACTTGAATTCATGATGCATTATTGAAAGTAAAATTAGTGAAAAAACGCGCCACCCTTTAAAACATATAAACTTAAAACCATAAGACAGCCATCAAGGAGAAGCATTAATAATATAAAATGTACATAAAAATAAAATAGCGCAAAGATATGCATCAATCCCAATCGCGCCACTCATCCCGGCCGCCTCCGCTAGTCCGCCCAAGTTCATCAAGCTCGCTCCGCTGGCTACCGGGCGTACTGTCGTCTTCCGAAGTCACTTCCCCGGGACGGGGGCGGGGAGACATGGGCCGCAGAGTTTTCATAGAAAGCCCCGTGCCGGGCCGCTGTGCATCCGTAGCTCTACCGCCCAAGGCTTGGTTATCAGTAGCGCGGCGCGAGACATCGCCGTATCCCCCACCACCTGGGGTATTGCCAGAGGATTGCCAGGTTTCTGATAGTGTTGAAGGCCGTTGCGGGAGAGCAATTGGATGCTGGTGGTGCAGTGGCTGGTGGTGCTCGCGCCACCGTTGCATTCTCCTGTCCTCTATTCGTTGCTTTATTTCACGCCATTTGGTACTAGCTTCCCAATGCCAGCCGTCTCCGGTGGTGTTGCATATGGGCAGAAACCAGAGCAGAGGGTTCGTACCGAAGAGATGCCTCAGGTTCCGGCGCCATCCGAGGTCAAATGCGTGAGGGAGCTTTTCTCCGTCCTGTTCGTCTAAGTATTCGTCGTATCGTGCTCTTTCGCGAGCATGTTCGAGCTCTTCGTAGGAGTGGTAAAGGGATTGTTGTGCGGGGGATAGAGTTTGGTTTTGGGCGTACGGTTGGGCGTGCTCGGGATCGAAATGTCGTTGTGGAACGGTTGGCGAACTGCGCTCTTCACCTTCCTCTTCGCGTGTCACGCCGGGGATAGCGTTGGCATGCGCATCAAGGAGTTGGTGACCATAGGTTTGGAAAGTATGGCCAAGGGTGTGCTTCATGTGCCCGTTAACAGCGCTGGCTCGTTCTTGCCTTTGACGGTCAAACGATTTGCGGATGGGTGCGAGGTATCTAGTCTTTTCTAAACATTCTATCGTTGTCATGCCTCGCGCTGCAAGGCTGATATGCCAGGCTGTGAATGCAGATAAAACAAGGCCGATTACCCCAGCTATGACGGCCAGGAGAATATTGGTGACCGGGCCGAATGAATCGATATAACGAGAGTTGTTCAATATCTCCGTCCAAACCCAAGTTGCAGAAACTGCAAAGCATACCCAGCAAAATAGACATGTATATATTAAAAATAACAGAAATGCTTTGTAGTTACGGAACCCGACGCAAGTAGCTAGCCAAGGGCAATGGTGATCCATTTTGAGAACACAGCGCTTGCATGATGAGCAGTGATGAGTGCGATCCGGTTTAACGCACAGGCACTTTTTACAGTACCTCCTACCACCCGTCGAGCTTACGGTCAGGGATGTATATTCGGGCGTTTCCGTTGTGGGAAGAGAGCTATAGTCATGTCGGTTCCCGCGACTACTCGTCCGAGGTCCCGTTAAAGGAGAGCCGGGGTCTGTGAAGACGGCTATAGTATACGATGCGTTTGAAAGGAGATAAAAGATTATTCCAAGAGCCGACGTCCAAGGCCCTAGTATTATATGTCAGAGAAATACATTCAAGATCAAAGCACAGGCATATGAAGCTTTAGTGGTGGGTTCTTCGAGATGGATGGAAAGTAATCCGCAACGTACCAATCCACCTGGACTTCGCCGGTTGCATTCCCATCCTTGCTTCCACATACACAGACCATGTCGTAAGCCCATAGACAAATGCCAACGGAAAATATGTACACAAGTTACAGCAAAGGCGTTCACATCGTCGCGCAAAATCCCGGCACTTCCGCTTCGAGGGCGAAAGCGGAGGGCTTGGGGGAGGCACGGCAGAAAACGCCTCCATCTTGTCAAAGGTTCCGCTTAAACCGAATAGAAAAATTATATGTATCTCATTGGGGGAATATAGTATTCATTGTTAAGGCGAACGTAGACGTAGGCGAGCCAGAGACAAACTGGACAGCTCGGATCGTAAGTCGTAGGCAGTAACTTAGGGAACACAGAAACCGCGGATCAAAAGTATCGAAATAGAAAACGAGCTGGAAGGAATGGACGGGATGGAATCGAAAAGAACGCGTATTTATTTAAGAATCGGGGGCTCGTAGTACGGAGTGTTTTCCCCCGTCGTCGTCGTCGTCGTCGTTTCGTATCTTGGAGTCGATGCTGCGCGCGGACATCATCAGCCTTACAAGCCGCTTATCTAACTAAGCCTTGGCAAACACACCAACAGTTTGTATAGTTTCTATTCTCCATTCAGTTACACAAGCAGTGTACTGACTGCTCTTGTTATTTCCCATGATTAGAAAAATAAGCATCCGTAGGGGCCTTTCAAAGACCCAACTTCAGAGCATCAATAATGGAGTTCGCGGGGAAGATATCCGTGGTGTGAATTCCAAACTAGCTCAATGGAGAGTGCCATCGAGGTCGTCAAAAATGATCACGCTAAGTATAAATATCCCAAGCAAATCCGCATGAAAAGGGTCCTGGGATGTTGTTCAGCGTTCAGCATTAGCAATCAGCATGGAATCTAATTCCGCCGTCACTTATAAGGCGCAACCAAGACAGCAAATACAAAGTTTTTGAAAACCCGCGAGAACGGGACGGGGAAATGGCCAGGATAGCTCCCCGGGCCGCACCGAAGCTGGGATGTATTAGAAATCAACCACGATGGAAAGGAGAGGATGAAATTAGTGGAGACTATTAATTACAGTATTGTTGTACTAAATATCCACTGTGTTCTAACCGGCAGCTTCAAGGGGGAAAAAAGTTAAGTTGTGAGATTGGTGAAGGATACACCAAAACCTACCCACAGAGCAAAGAGCAAGATACAACATAGAAGGGAAAAAAAAATACACCGCCAACCAACGTATTGGTATGTAGCCAAAATCGAAAAAAAAAGCACGTTCACTGAGAGATGCTTTGAAACAAGTCCCCGAATGAGTAACAAACGGGAAAAAAACCGCTAAAATGATTAATGTATATGACCCACTCAATCGTCCAAAGGGCCCTGTTCCTTCTTCCACCAAGTATGATGAAAATAATTGAGGTATCCATGTCTAACCTAGGAGATAATAAAACAGATAGCAAAGCAGGTACACAGAAATCTCAAGAGGGTTCCCTCAAGAGGACCACAAAAAAAAAGGGGGAGGGAGAAACAATGCAGCCATATACCATAGAAATAAAGCAAAAGATGGTATTAATCTATGTCGGGTAAAAGGGATAAAAGAAAGAAAAAAGAAAATCTTTAGCTATGTTACTGATGAAGTTTGGGGTGTGAGCGGGGACATGTCAGTCGTTAGAAAAAAAAAAAAAAAAAAAAAAAAAAGGGGGGGGGAGGACGATAATAGGGGAAGAAAAGACAAAGTTAATTGTGTAGGTGAGTGGTCGATGGCCGAGGGTCGAGAGCGGATGGTCGTAGAAACTGAAAATATATGGATTCCCACCACGCGGAAGAAACGAGATGCACGGGGTGATGGTTTATTTAAGCGATCTTACCAACATCGCACCAATTTCTGCCTTCAATGGGCTAAATGATTGGAGAGAGAGCAGAGGGGTTAGCGGTGCGCCATAACCAATAAATCAAATTCATCAAATTCATCATCTCCAGTTTTACCTAGCACAGGGCAGGGGAAAAGAATAAAAAAAAAATAAAAAAACTTACCAAACATGACAAATACCTACACCACCCACAGGTCGACCGATATTTATAAAAATTATCCAACAACAGTATAAACGCAATCACGATCCCCACCAGCGTCCCCGCCCGCACAACCCACCACAGCCACCAGAGCGGCTTCCTCCCCTGGAAGAATTTCACAGGCTGTTTCACCATGAGCCTCTTCGCTTTATCACCAGCTTCATCACCGGCTCCTAGCGCCCCGCTAGCGCTGACGGGGTCATAAGGGTCGAGGTGCGGAGTTACCGCACCGATGCGCTCGCGCAGTCTATCCGGAGACCGGAGTACGGATATGCCTAGCACCAAACCAACCAGGAAGCCGCCAATGTGCGAGAAATTGTCTAGACCGGGCAGGAGGCCGAGGACGAAGGATATGCCAATCGTAATGAGCATGACGACAAGTTCGGTCACGGGTTTCGGCCGCGTGCCCCAGGTATAGAGGAGGTCGAGAAAAGCGAGGGCGAAGATACCAAATAGGCAGCCTGAGGCGCCTGTGGATGCGATGCCGGCCGGCGCGAAGTTGGCGCCGAGGATGAAGCCGAAAATGCCGCTGGCGAAGTAAACGAGAGCGTAGCGCCACCAGCCGATCGTGCGCTCCATGTCTGCGCCGATGGTAAGTTGGGCCATCATGTTGAAGCCGATGTGGATCAGACCGGAGTGCAGGAAGATAGGGACAATGAAACGGAACCATTGGTTTGGTTCTGGTTTGTCCTCCAAGCTGCCTTGAGGTTTTGGGTCGGGGACTTTATGGGTCTCTTTGAAGCCGCAGAGGTCAGAGAGAGTGCATTGGTTTTCGGGTGCGTAGGGGTCCGAGGATATGGTGTTCGGGCAGGGGAATGGGACAAGGCCGTTTGTGGCGTTTTGGTTGTTTTGAATGCCTTCCTCATTCCGCATACAAGGAACGTATCGGGCTCCCATGTTTATCTGGATGTAGGGCGATGGGCCGATCATGGGGTTGAATTGGGGCCTGATCATGATTGGGGACCCTGTCAATTGGCCTAAAAGAATCATCAGCAACTAGGCCATCCAAAAGGGGAGGAAAAAAAATGAAATAAAACAAAAAGCCTACCATTCCGCACCAGCTCCGCAATAAACACAACCACCTGCACTAAGGTAACAAAATACGTAACGAAGGGTATCTTCTTCCTAAACCACCTCCTCCCTTTCCCTTTCCCTTCCCATCCCCTCGAATGTCTCGCTGTCGGGTTCGGATTTAGTGGCACGCGTTGGCTCTCTGAGGAAGGGGGGTATTGCGTATCTGCATCTATCCACTCTGGCCGTCCGCCAGTCGTCGCCTGCGCATTGGCTTTTAGAGGGATATCATCTGGGTAGTAATCAGTGCCATGCGGCCTTCCCGCCGTGCCCATGCCCCCACCGACAGCTCCACCACTTCCTCTTCCTCCTCCATAACTATGACTATCTGGGGAAGCGGGGTAGTCATGGTCTGGGCGGGGGTTATACTGACTGCCGTCGCGGTCATAAGGGCTTCCGTATGCGCCGTATGGCGAAGGGGTGCGAAGGGGAGGAGGGCTTTGGTTAGACCAGGCTGGTGGAGGAGACACTCTGTCGTCGGGGGGGTATGGATTTAAGGGTTGGTTTTGTTGTTGTTGTTGGGGGTAACCTGAGTTGTAAGGGTTGTAGAATTCGTTTGCCGCCATGTTTTCGGGCTTTTTCCCCCCTGTCTCCGGGGAAGAGGAGGTAGATGACTGGTGGTGATGGAGCGCTATATGTAGTAGTATTCAGGAGATGAAGATGCAAGAACGAATGTGATAATAGATAGAAGGACGGGATAAATGGTATTGATGAACGACGTAGCAGAAAGCAAAGTACTCTCTGTAGTGATGGTTTTGAAGGAAGCAGCAGCAGCAGGTTTCAAAGCCGGAGCTGTCGTTCGGAGGATGGTCTGCTAGTGGCTGATCAACGAGGGAGACCAGGGCCGGCGATTTTCTTTTTGGTTGGTGTTGAACTTTGTTGGTTGTTGTCTGTTGTTGGTAACTATTTAACACCGTTTCAGCCGCAGCCCAGGACACACACAACACCAACCAAGCAGCCAAGCCAATCGCCAGTCTGAAACACCCCGCGTTCAACTACGTAGAAGACAAAACAGGTCGGAGGGCATGAGGAATAACTTCTTCAGCAAACGGGCAGATATTACTTAGGTTGTTCTCCAGGAACAGAGTTTTGGGTTCCAAAAGTTGAGATGATGATGCTTGCTTGGCATTTATAAGCAGCCGTTAGACCGCGCTTGGGGCGGTGCAGACTCAGCCACAGTACTATGGATGACGGGTTTCAGATTTCCTCACTTCTTGTTCACCTCGCGATTCCAAACTCCGAGTTATTCAGGGCTTCAGACATACAGCGTACATGTTTCATAGTAAATGTGCAGTACAAATCAAGTTTTGCCAATCACTGCATACAAAATACGATCCCGAAATCGATGACGCACATACACATGCATCTGTCAAATCTGTCAATTCCTCCCTCCGCCTTCGGCGCACACAGAAGTATCCATATTCCGCGTCTGTTGTTTTCGATTAACATATTATAATTATCTAACGCCTAATACTTGCTCTGAATAACCTGGGCTGCCTGCCTGCCCTTACTTGCAGGAATCTAGGTCTGATGCGTTGGAAGAAAAAATCCCATAAAAACCATGCTGATATAATTGCCGCTAGGGTTACCCGCACTGGTCAAAATAATCCATCTTGAATGTATGTACAATGGGTTCTGCGATAGTCTCTTTCATCTCCAACAGGAACGCATTACTTATCGCGGTAGGCGGCGGGGATAAGAAGTTGGGTTTGCTCGCGCCATGACTGCTCCATCGAGACAGGCAAAATCCACTTGCGGGTCATTATTCAACCAACGTTTGAGTTATATGGATGTATCCTGATTCTCTTCAATCTAGAAAAACAAAACGCCGTCACAGAACTGGACGAAACCCAATTGCGCTTTTATTCTCTAAGAATGCAAAGACGACATGCGCGCATGAGTTTGGTGGTGACAAACGCGATGGCGGGCGAAACAAGGTTCAAAATATGCCAATCCTATATCAATCAAAGGATATAAAATCCTCTTGTCAGCAATACCTGCCTTTCGTTTAGGAATACATTATGCGTAGGCAAACTGCCTGAGTCATCATCATGGTCAAATACCTAGGAACGTACCAGAAGTCCAAGGAATGCGCTCGGGGCACCAAAAACCAGGAAATTAAAAGAGGGGAGGAGAGAAAAAGAATATGCCGTTAACAGCTGAGCAAAAGATAATTACGCTCAAGCATGCGGCAACGGTTGATTGGTAGCAGTTGGCGATATCGATATCGAGCCTCCAGAATTCCAAGGACCAGGACCAGGACCGGGGGCCGCACCCAAACCAGACCCAACGCCAGAGCCATTAACAAACTTCAGCTCTGCAGAAACCCTCTCCTTAACCCCGTCCATGCCGGCCCCGGTCAAAATCCAAGCCAGCCTGCTCAGCTTCTGATACAGCAGCGGGGGAAAGTATAAAAACAGCCCATAGACAAGCAGCGAGATAAACACGAGCAGGAAGGTATTCGCGACAAATTTCTCCCCGGGAGTCATGACATAGATGCCGTAGGTGACTTCATAGCGGTAGTAGGCGAGCTGGAGGCGGTTTGTAAGCCGTTTGAGGAGGCTGGGACTGTTGGGGTTGAGCGGGGCGGGGTTGTCTACGGGGGGTGCGTAGGGATAGGTGGAAGATATGGACATTGAGGATGAGGTTGAGGATAGTGGAGGGGATTGGGATATTATATGGGGTTTGATTAGGTGATTGAACTGGAGTACGGAGGGGTTATGAGATGTATGAGATGTGGTGAATTGTTTGGGGAGAGGAGAGGAGGTGGAGGTGAACTGCTGGGTTTTGGTCGCCATGATGGGATCTGTTATGAGGGCGCAGATAGAGGAAGGAGAAGTCCGCACAGTTAGGTTGAGACGATCAAGTGCTTCTTTCTGTCTTATTCTGTTGTGTTGTTGCGGTGAGGTAAATACTTAGGTAGCTGCCACCGCCCGGCACACGGATACCGCGGAGTTGCGTCTCCTGACACACACAGAGAGAAAGTTAAAGATGCGAGGAAAACGCCGGAGACGAGAGAGAGAGCGCTGCCAAGATGAAGTTGTTTTTGTAACAATTGGTAGGTGAATTCAAGAACTCCTGGAAAGGTAAAAAAAAAAAAAGAAGAAGAAGAAGAAGAAGGGAGACTCTTTTATAAAAATGCTTATTATGTCCTATCTCAGCAGAAAAATAGTATACCAGTTTCAGCAACTTGGCAACCCCAGATAGACAAAGGAAGACAATTATAATAACCTACTGAGAGAAAAGAAAAAGATAGCAAAATGGAAGGATGCCCTAGGAAACTCGAATCATAAATCCGTAAATACTTTAAGCACCAATCCCTGAGGAGAAGAAGGGGTAAAAAGAAAGAAAAGATAGAGAATCTGACAGAGGAAGAAAAGAAAAGAAAAAGAGGAAGAGGAAGAGGAAGAGGAACTAGGAACAAACGTGCCGAATCATCCAGAACAGTACTCCGTACCTCTCTATCCATCCTATCCCCATGATTCTTACGCTGTATGCTTTCCCATGCTTTCCCATTATTATTCAGCTGTTGCAGCCACGGATACCACGGAATCCGGCCAATCACTGCAAAAGCCGAAGATAAGGTTGACAATGATGGCAGGACGGGCAGGCGGGAACCGATCCTATGACGCCCCTCTCAAGCCTTCTCGGCAGGCGATTGGTAGAAATGGGGATAAAGAATGTGTTTCCCTCAGGCGCTTTTCCGAATCTTGGTAGCTCGACATAGGAGGTCCGAGGAGCCGCAGACGTGGCCCAATTGGACACGACACACAGGTGAAAAATAAAGAGGGGAAAAGAGACAAACAGCACAGACGGATCAAGCGGCAGAGAGTCTTGGTCATTTATTATTTATCAGCATAATATGATAACTAAACATAGGACTCCTCCCGGGTTCTTTTCCCGAATCTTTAACATGCTGGCGCAAAGGCTGAAGAGCAGAGATGGATGCAATGCATGGAACGTATTTTCGATTGCGCACCTAAGGCCCGTTCTGATTGGTCAGTGGGTGGCTTGGTGTGTTTTGTGGTGCTGGCTCCTGATTGGCTGTCAGTTTACCCAATTCCATACAACTTCTTTATAGATAGCTTTGTCTGATATTTCGAAGTTCAGTTTGTCAAAAAGATATTTATCCAATCCAACAACCGCCTTCCACCTCCCTCTAGGAGCCTCGGCCATCTTAACGGAAGAGTTAGGCGAGTATATACGCTGTATAGCCTTGTCGTAGGCTCAATTTAGAGTTAAGATAAGCTTCGGAAGACCCACAGCGCAAGCATACACTAGCCCAGACACAGAGGGTGCTTTTTTGATCCTTCCTTCACTGCAGACTCAAAGCAATAATGTGAAGAACGGAGGAAGGGGTAGATACAACCCAGTAGTACTGCGCGGGCCCTCTTAAGCGCCAAAGTCACGTGGCACAGTACATTTTCCGAACTAGCTGGTTCAACAGAGGAAGCCTACATCTATGGTAGCATACTACGTCTACAGTAACCATCATGGGGCCAGTGTCAGACGCGCAGAAGTTCAGTGCCCTGATGCTAGTACTGTTTGATCAGTATTGATGCTGCCAGCCTGACATGTTCTTCTTCTTTAACTTTATGCAAAATACAACAGCTTTTGAAAGTTGTCTATAAGGATGCAACAGATCAAAAAGTTGATTTTATAACATCATCAGCTCTTGAAAAGGCCATTCAGAACTCCACAAGGATTAACTCTCCAGATATCAGTGAATACCCCTGGCCCCCACCTGTTGATGACAGTTGGACTGATTGAGTGGATATAACAATTGATAACTTGATAAATGGAGTTAACATCTCAAGTGAGGAACAAGAGTAAGTCAAATCACACTATTTTGCTTGACTCTACTTATTCTCTTCATGTTTAGTAACTCTTTTACCAGATTTGTTGACTCATTGTTTTCCACACTAGGTCAAGGCTTGGTAGTTAATGATCACTGTTGTGTTCTTTGAACATCAACTCTTTCAACATCATTCAGATCACTGGACTTTTATGATCTGGGATCACTTGTCATCAGACTTGAAGAGTGGGAATTATCTTCTGCAGAGTGAAATTCTAGAGATAACTTCTATTTTATATCATCAGATGAATGAAATGTGTTGAGACTCCTGGAAACACCAGTACATGCAGCTGAAGTTGACATATCAACATGATCAATTAACAGTACAGCTTGCTTCCTCTTATCCCCTCTGTCTTCAGTGAACTTGTACAAAGTAGTGTCTCTTTTTAGTACTCTCTTTTTTACACTGCCATGCAAACACTGATATCCTGCTAGGCCACAATCATGACCTTTATAATTGAGACAACCTGCGACTCATCTGACCAAAATCCCACACTGACATGTACACTGAGGGGTTTCTATGATCTTAGCATGTCCTCCTACAACAAGTCTTCAGTTCATGAAATTGTGAAATGGATTCTTTGTTCACCAGGGCTAACTCAGGGCGTTCCCTTGAGACACAAGAAAGTGTGATGTTTTCATCATTTCCATGTTCGATGGGCTTATTTACTATGAGACTGGGGCATGCAACTGGTGATAATCAGGTTTTTTAATTTTCAACTACTGTTTTTATTATCTTCATACCTCTTGTGTTGTGAGCTGAGCATCTTTAATTCTCAAAATTTTTATTTATCTGACAATCTACATAATATAAAACTACCCCCAAACTGAATTACATCGCTTCCAAAAGATCCCTATAAGTTTTGAAAGTTGTTGAGAGGGAGTAGAATAAGGGCATGCGGGTGCTAAAAATGGATTGAAAAAGAGAATTGTGAGCCAAAAATGGTGAGAAACAAAAGGATCTCAATCCTTCAAAACTTGCCAGTTCGCGTGAATCCTTTGTTTTTTATCTTGGTTTGACGCGAGTCAAAACAATCCTTACCAAGGAAGGCTTCTTTTAGCCATTCAAGCACTTAATAAAGGTCAAATTTCAAGTGTACGATCTGTAGCAAAGGTGTATAATGTTCCTCAATCCACTCTTACCCATCGCATGAATGGTCGTACAGCACGCTTTGAGACTCCACCCTCAGTCTTACAGAGGAAGAATCTCTTATTCAATGGATCCTATCTATGGCTGAGCGAGGCCAGCCACCCCGGATTGCGACCGTACGAAATATGGCCAATTTACTTCTGTCTGAACGAGAAACAAAGTCTGAATCCAAGCCTCCCCCTCCTCCCTCAACAGTTGGTGTTAACTGGGTACAAAACTTTATTAATCGCCATGATGAGTTACAATCGAAGTTATGTGGGATACATCATACATGCATCGCAATAATAATAATGAATGATCTTGGACCTAACAAAATTTCCAAAGCAAAATATGCCAATAATTATTCTTTATACAGCCCCAACTACAGGGGCGCGGGCTATTTTCCTGCAGGCGTTGAACGAACACCTATTTATCCCGCAACGACAAAGCGGTTGGGATAGCGACCCTTCCACCTCTTATTTTTCAACATGCGCGAGTCGCAATAGATCTGGATTGAATCGTTCTAATCGACCCGATGGACTTCGAATCCAACCTTACAGATTGGCAAGTACACATGTACACGTCAACCTCTTGGACGATCCAAGACAACGGCTACTGATGTCATAGGGCGTGTTTGCTGCCCCTGTTCGAGCAGGAGCGAGCGAAATCAGCATCAACACACAGAGCGGAGCCGGCCTTTCTTGGGTCTGCGATTGCAGAGGAAAATAATGCTCTGGATCAAGACAAGACTATACTCTTTCCTGCATCCATGATGATGCAAACGCGATAAATGGCGTGTGATACCGAGGGCAACCGAGCGGAGGTGGTTTGAGCGATCTCCTATGTAGGGCGTCAAAAGCCTCGTGTTCAATGGATCTCTTCTCCCTCTAGCTTTCATTTACTGAGCACAAGGTGAGACGTCGAATTCTCCATGGCTGTTTGTTGACATTCCGCTCATATAAAAGTTGGTAGGCACCCACCCCCACACTCGCTCTGAGTGTACGTAGATACTTCCCGCTGTGGTCTCTCTCATCTATTCTTCATCGTGCATAATTCTCTCTGCAGGGACTACATACCATCCGCTACGTTATTGAAGATTCTTCATTTCCTCCCAATACCGAATCCTCAATTGAATCTTAAGCCATGCCTGCAACTCCGTTTTCCACCATCCAAAAGAACACCACCGAAAACTCCATCTTCATCGTAGGCGGGGGCATTGTCGGTTCATCTCTAGCATACTATCTCAGCAAATCTGCCACTGCCCAAAATGGGATTCCCAAGATCGTGGTTTTGGAGAAATCTCTCGGGTCCCTGTTAGGCTCAACCAACTACGCCCCAGGATTTGTGGGACAGTACAACGACTCTGCCATAGAAACCAAGTTGGCAATGGACAGTGTGCGGGAATACCTTACCGTCCCCAATGGGTTTGATGTCGTAGGGGGTATGGAGTTGGCAGCTACGGAACCTGGTGTGGGACGGTTAAAGCGACGGTGTGCCGATGCGTTAGCAGCGGGTTTACCATCTGAGATGATTACCGTGGAGAAAGCAGCAGCGCTGGCGCCTGATTTCGTCAAGACGGATACCACCAAGGCTGCGTTACATTTTGCCTCTGATGGGACTGCAAACCCGAAGATTATTACGGCATACTTTCGCCAAAAGGCCGCGGAAAACGGCGCTTTCTTTGTCCAAGCTGGTGTGACAGGTTTGGAAGTGGGAGATCATGGAGCGATCAAAACGATCTCAACATCTGAAGGACCCTTAAATGTCTGCTCTACGAGCCGCATCGTTCTCGCGACGGGAATATGGACGCGCTTTTTACTAAATGACGCCTCATCCGCGTCATCGTCTGGCAACCCTATAACTAAATCGCCCATTCCCATCACCCCCGTCGCGCATCCATACACTTTCACCCCTACCCGGGCACCCAGACAGGGCCCTCCTTATCCATTCGTCCGCTGGCCTGAACGAACGGTTTACGCGCGCGATCACGGCACAAACGACGGGATGGGCACTTACGACCACCCACCAATTCAAATCACCGACCCTTTCAACTCCGCGTTGGGCAGCTGGCCTAAAACGTTCGAAATTGCGCTTGCGGAGGGGGCCAGAACATGTCTGAAAAACGGCGAGCTGTTCCAGACGACGGATGGATGCACTGACGAGGAGATCGCTACGGAAAAGAAGAGGCCGTTCAATGGTATATTCTCGGTCACGCCGGACAATCTACCCTTGGCGGGGAAGGTGGGGGATGTGCAGAACCTGTGGCTCTGCGCTGCTGTGTGGGTATCTCATGCAGCTGGTGTTGCGTCGATTCTTGCGCGGGAAATTCTCCGGCGGTACGATGAGAGTGGTGAGGTTAGTGGCGATGACGAGGTTGTGCTCAAGGCTCTTGATCCGAATAGGTTTTTGGGTCGGGAGATGGAAGAATTGACGAGGATGGCATTGGGGAGATATAATGATATTTATAATAGTCAGCCATTGTGAGGAGATATGTCAATTGATTTCCTTCTTGCGGTATTTATGCAGTATTTTAGAGAGAGGAATATATATCTTTACCTTACTGAGTACAAAGAAATCGTGGCGTGATTGGTGCGGGGAAAGGACGATGGTCGATGCTCGGATCCATTGTTATTACGTCATCCCTTGTCCGACGTTGGGTTTCACTTTGTTAGCTAGTTAGTTACCTTGAATCAACCCAGGGATCAACCTCTAGAAATAACGAATTTTTTTTGAGATTTAGTACGTTTGATTATTTGACTTGGACATAGTTAATTGTATATTTATCAATCCTCTCCTCTATAGTACTCGCGCCCTCTCCATCCTTCAACTACCAGTTTTTTGTTAACTCCGTGGTTTAGTGGGGGTGGCCAAACTGACGCGTACATTTTATCTGTCCTAGGTTCCTGCATCGTACGGAGTACTGATGCGCGTATAGAAAGAACCTCTCACATCCCAGAGTTACCGCCATCATGGCAACTGATGAACGCGATGACCCTCTCGTCAAGGCTCTCCCTCCCGAAACAGACTACCTGACCTATCTCACAATTCTAGAATACCAATTGACGCCCGAACGCCTGCCGATCCTACACAATCTGCTCCAGGATGAGAAGCTGACGATAAATATAGGCTGGGACTTGGTCCAGTTGCTTCTTCCTATGATTCCGGCATCTCAGGAATGTCTACAAGATGTGGCTAGGCTGGGGAATCCGCGAGAGGTTATTTTGCGGGTTTCGAATTCATTGATGAAGTTGGAGCCCGTCGAAGAAGATGAGGAAGAAGCGAAGGACGAAATGGACGAAAAGAGAATCAGCAAAGCCATTGGGGAGGTTAATCTGGAGGAGAAACCCAGTGTGAACGACAATGAAGCTATAGACGATAAGTCAGGAGCTACACCCAAAGTCCCAGTGCACATCCTACAATTCAACTGCCTTCTTTCCATGCTCTCGGTCCTCCACTCCCGCATCCAAACAAAGTACCCCAGCCGTTTCGTTGCAACCTCCCTCCAAGCCGTGCTGGAAGCATACACTGCTTTCCCAACGGTGGAAACAACAGCGGCAGTGCTAGAATTCTTCAGAGACATAGCTGGCAAGAAGCGTCCGCGTCTACCGCCTCGGATTACAAGTGAATCATTGTTGCCGCAGACCACACAAGAGTCTGCGCCGGATCCTGAGGCTGAATCGCATCCTGGGACTGCAGCATCCGGGGAAGGTGTTATGGTAAAGAGACTTATGCAGTTTGGGCTTGTTGAGCTTTTGAAAACATATCTCTTGCATTGTATTAATGAGGCGCCTGCAGGCATGCAGTGGGCACTTCGATTACAGGAGAAATTGGATACGAAGAATCGGATGCACTCATCGTTAAGCTTAATTGAGGAGTTCGGAAGGGATGGACGATTGAAAGAGCGGGATATGACTGTTGGGAAGATTATCGTATGTTTTGTCCCACTCCCATTAGTTATATTCTTTGTTCGTTTCGCGGATTCATTTCTAATTTCTTGTGTCCAGGCACTATCGCGAGATTTTGACTTAGAAACAAAGGAACTGCTGGATATCATTTCGAAGCCTGGTGACCAGCAACCACTTCCTCTAGACTTTGAAGAGACTCCGAAACACCCGAACGATGTCCCCATTCAAAGACATGGCTGTCTACTGCTGCTGGCAGCTCGGTCTGCCGCCGATAAACTTCTCTCTTCCGGCCAGCCAGTAAAACCCATTCCTGTCTTCCCTGATCTTGCCGCCATATTTTTGAATTTCCTTGGAGAAAGCAAATCTCCATATTCAACCATGATGGAAGAACCCGAAGCCCTCGTCGATTCGCTCTTATCCCTAGCCGTGATTGCCAGTTGTAACCCAGTTTCAGCCCCTCAAAATGAAACTGAATTTAGCCAACTCATCATCCAGCTCACGGCCTGTGCCCGTGCACCTGGTTTCCGTAGTTTTAGCCGGATGGCCCGTGTTCCATCAACAATATTCCACAGCAATCCCGACCCAACTGCACGATTTAATCTCATCAACAAAATCCTCGAGAACGAAGATTTGCAGGATGCCCGAGAACCAGCAATAGGATGGCTAAAGGATGAACTCCTTCCAGCAGCCGCGCTAAATGCACCACCAGACCAGAAAGAAAACATCTTCACGGACCCCAACCATTTCGCCATCCTCTTCCAGCACATCTACAAACCCATCCCGGCCGACTGGCTGGCCCTCGGGACCGCCAAAACCAAAGACCTCATTAACACCTGGATGACATTTACTCAACATCTGCTCCCCTACTACCTCTCCATCCTAAACCTCTACTATTTCCTCACCCAGTCCCCAGCCCTCTTCGAGCGGTTACAAATACAAAAACTCCACCCTGCTTTCGAATCCAACTTCCTCGTTCCACTCATGACCTTCGCGAAGCATATATCGACAGACGCGGAGATCAAGGCACGGGTCGAGATGGAGGTTGGTGATGAGGCAGAACAGATGGGCCACGGAGCGGCTGAGTTGGTGTTACATATTATTGGGGAGATTGAGGAGGGTTCGGCAGGGCTGTTGGGTGGCCAGGGTGAAGGGTGAAAAGGGGAGTTGCGTTTGCTTTCAAAGATGCCAAGTAAGGGTGGAGTGGATGTATGCTTTTTGAAGATTCTGGTAAGAGCCGTTTTGGCCCGTTATTGATCTCTCCCAGAAGGGATCTGTTTTTCATGAATAAGTGTGCGTTGCGAGTACAGTTTTCATTTTGGTTCAGATATGAGATATGCGACAGGAGCTGGCTAACTGGAAACGAATGCGGTATGATATGATATTTTTGTGTCGAATTTATATTTTAGTTTTCTGTTCTAGCTATGTGTTAGTTATTTCCCCGTTAGGTAGAGAGAGTTTGTTATATTATTAGTTCGGTTTCGACAGATCGGTCATGTCTTCAGCTCGGCTTTTTCTATGGTTCCTCCGCGTCGTATTATTTAAACCCGGAGCCGAGCCGAGTAACTAGTTACGCTGGTGACCCCGACTTTCCGTTCCTCAGTCATCGCAGTCAACGCATCATACTCGGCATGCTCCGTGCTAGGTAGTTATCCAATACATTGTTGCGGGGTGATTTCCCTTTCGGGTTTCCCAGATGTTCAACTGCGAACCCAAATCTTGCACTGTTCAAACCTTGTATGTGACTGCCAATAAGACACAGCTCTTCGGCGGTTTGGTGACTCAAACATCCTTGGCAGGCTCGTAAAGCAGCCTTACCGAGAGTCCATCCCCAGTTACGGCATTGCATGACATGACGGCATAGTTAGAGTGTGGCAGTGAAAGTCGGTTCATTTTTCTCAAGAAACAAATTTCATGATAATCAACCACCATAGGGCATAGTGGTCATTCTGCTGTGTTTTGCTGTCGGACAACTATCGCCATTTGGATATATAATTTAGACCCTCAATCTCATCCCAGCGCAATCACTTTGTTCCTCGAGCTCCCCACACCACAGCGGCGCAACTTCAGTGTGCTGCAGTCGTCAATTCCTCAACTCAACCCATCACATTGATGCGATAACACCCCATTTCTTCCTCCCTCCCAGCGAAACCTTTACCCATCTCCCCCCCCCCCCAACAAAGCATATCAAAACCATGAAATCCAGTCGATCTCACAAAATCTCTACAGCAAAACACAGCTCTCTCACCTCCGTTACCGTACTCCCCACAAACAGCGCCACATATCACCCTGTCATCAGCCACTCCCACCTCTACGGCATCACCTTAGACAGCCTAAGCCCCGCAACAGCAATCCGACACACATTCATCAGACACTCGACTGTAAAATCTAATAAATCAACCACAGATCCAGGTAGTAGCAATATTAACGAAGGCAGCAGCCGTGGGGGCAGCGGCGGGAATGGCATGAGCACCATCTCGCAGAGCCATGTATCCCACTGCACCATCTCGGGCAGCAACATCGACTGCTGCAGCATGCGGAGGACCACCACGTCGAACGCAGAGTACGTTTCGGGTTCGCAAGTGCGCGGCTCAACAATACTAGGCACAGGGCGCATTTCTCAGAGCAAGCTGAAAAACGCGCAATTCCTGTGCACGTCGGACGATAACAGCAATAACAACAACGACAACGGCAACCATAATATTAATAATAATAATATTAATAATAATAATAATAGCACCATACCAAATCCCGTTACTAATACTACCAAAACCGAAGTCAACAAAGGCGACATCCGCGACTCCATCGTCGGCCCATTACCGTGCACGATTAGCCGGAGCAGACTCAACAACGTAAAAATCTCCCAGAGTACGGTTAAGGATGCGTGTTTGAATGATTGCGATATCGACGGATGCCGGATTGCGAAGGCGAAGTTTTCCGGGCTGTGGTTGAGGAATGGGATTTGGGAGGATGGGGAGCTGGTTGGGAAGGTGAATGAGGGGGAGGAGGTGATTGTCAAGGCGAGGAATTTTGCGGAGATTGAGGCGCGGGAGCGGGAGCAGGAGCGGGAGAGGGTTAGAGGGATCAAGGGGTTAGGGATAGGGGTGGGGATAGGGGTAATGACGGGGCCAGCCAGAGGTATTGAGGATCCTGTTTCTGCTTCCGTTGCTGCTGGTCGTTGTGCTCAGGGAGATAACGCGCTGCCCGAGATAATATCGGGTGAAGCTAGTGACAGTAGACGTCGTCTCCAAGACGACGATATGGTAAGTGAGGAAATCGGTAGTTCCCTTATCTCGCGAGCCCAATGCATATTCTATCCTACATCCCCTACATTTTACTCCTTTCACTGCCAAATTAGTTAGTTACTAAACCGACTACTTACTCCAAAAAACTAAGCTTGCCAACCCACCCCAAATACCACCGCCCCATTTCGACTCTCTTCTTCCTACAGCGGCAGCAGCAGCAGCAGCAGACGATGAGCAACGTAGCCCAGATCAACAAACGTCACCACCCCTTTCAAAGGATCAACCATATATCAGCACCGAAACTTACCCCAGCTCGCCGTCCACAGAGCGCTACTCAAGTGCCGCCGAAAGCTTACTCGACCCCGATGAGGACGGCGAGTTTACGCTACAAGATCTTCCCGATATTAGACGTTTAGGCATTGACGATGAGAAGCCTCCACCATATACACCATAAGACGCCCTGCGATTGAGGTTAATTCTGTTTTTTGATGCATTTTGGATTAAACACTTCCTATACCACCATGTACAAACTTTTACCGTTATTATTATTATCATTACTGTCATTCTCCTCTCTGCGTCTTTGTATTGCGTTTATGACCCCCAAAATACCCTTGGACTATACAATGAGCAAGGGAACAAAGAAATGTGAAAAGGAAGGAAGAAAGCAAGAGAAAAAAGATAATGAAGCTTCCCCGCCCAATTTAATGTAATATTGCATCTACTAACTCAATTAATTCCACTCATTGCTTACTAAAAATACAAAAATTCAATGAGTAAAGGAGTTAAACAACACCCGCCAGTGGGGTAGGTAGTAGATGGTTGTTTATGTATCACATGTACATGTCATTTGAAGTCATTTGTGCACAGCACAGCACAGCACAGTACATAAAACATGGAGCCTTGAATTCCACACTGGCCCATCCACATACCCAGCTTATCCCCTATGTAAGAAGGCAAAATAATAACAACAATCCGAAGATAATAGGGGGACAAAAGAAAAAGAGCGTCGTGATATGGCACAATGGGCGTAAGAAACTTGGCGAGGAACATCATGTCATAAAAACTGGGATTGGGTATGGGTAAACAACAATGCGAAACGAGAATGTTGAAGAGAAACGGGGAGACAATCATCGATAAGTGTACTTGCATTTATGAGCGAGGACGGCCGGGTTGGATAGGAGAGAGAGGCGAAAAAAATCACGTCTCATTTCTTTTTCTCTTCTCTTTTAAACATTCCCCCCCTCCCCTCTCCCCCCCCCCAAACAACAACAACTCATACATGCATTACCATGATGCCACCCTATTCCTCTTTCCTTTCTGGTCCCTCTCCTCATGTTTCCGAATGTTCAGCCAGACTGCATAACCAAAGCCGAGGAGCGTGGGCCTTGGGAAAAGTAACAGTGATTCGGGACAAACAAGGAATGCAAGTAGGCCCAGGAAGCAGTACATATCCAATGTAAGTACGAATACAACATTCCCGTCGGGGTTGACAAAAAAATTGAAGGAGAATAACAATAACAACAGAAAAGGATGGGTGGTGGTTACGATCACTTTCGCATCACGAATATGAAAAGGAAAATAACAAGAGAAGGAAAATGGGGGGGAACAACATTTCACAGAGCCTGTAAGCCAAGATCAGACAGGATAGAGGAAACATGCTCGCGTAAACAACCCCGCAAGGGTCGCAAAGGGGGATACAAAGGGCTTTGCGTTTCTCAAAGGGGTCGTCGAAGATCGTTCGGAAGTAGAGTTGCGTCGGTGGTAGTCTTTTCTGAGTTTTAGAATGTGATAGCCGGCGGGTTACGTTGGACTCGATAGTTTCTGCGTATCTTTAATCTGAAGGTGAGGTAACGAGAAAGAGTTCCAGTCGGAAGGAAATAGCGAATAACCTCCTTGGTAGTTCTCATTCCCCTAGCCGCCTTTCAATTCTGAGTGTGAACTTGGATTCTTCATCGATAACTTCGCACAGGCAATCCCAACCATGCAAGTAACAGGCATAACTCAAAAAGAACAGCTGAAGGAACCCTGCATCCATGGCGCGAGGAAAAAGAATTGGTCGTTTTCTATATCAATGTAACTGAGGCCGAAGCACTCTGCAAAATGTTTCCCCCGTGGCAGATGCCACATATTGTGATATAGAATATCTACATCACAATGCACTGGCCGCCGCTGTTGCGGACGAAGACTGGGCCTAGAAGGGTAGGTTCGGTTAGGTAATGTTATGGAAGCAGGGTAGACATGGAAGCAATTCTTACCGGTCTCTGGGACCTTTGGGGAGGAGATGTTGGCAGTATTGGGAGACATTTTGTTTGAAGGTAGTTTGTTTGGAAGTGCGAGGGACGGATAATCCTCTTGCGAAATTTGGTAGTTGAAATATTGGGACGCTGTTTGGAACTCTGGTAACTGATGTTTGAAGAAAGAGAAACAGAAGGCAGAGGAAAAAGAGAAATAAGGCAGGTTTATATATTCATTCCGGAGCTTGTAGATTGAAGATAGGGCAACAGTGAAGGCAGCGATTGCAAGGGGGATACCCAGTACAATTCGGGGATCTGTTCAAAGGAAAGTAGAATACTGAAACTGTAAATACTCCGGTGGATTGGTTATATTGTTTGTTGTAATGCCTTCAGTCACTTGCACGTGGCTTTAGTCATGGCATTATGCGTCGTAGGAGAATAGCTACCACGACAGCACGCAACTAGACGCCTTGAACCCCGACACTATGCAATAATTTGATACATTCCCCAGAGTGGAAAGCCGCCAGTGGAGTGGGAATGACGGGGGACCCATGGGGGGAATTAGACTGTATGCCCAAGAAGTTGTGGTGTTCCTGCGTAAGTTCTTAGTATTGTTCGTCTTAGTATTGTTCTTTATCAAAGCGGAAAAAGAGAGTGGAGACTGAAAGGGGGGTAGGAATGAACTTTAAAGAAACTGAAAGTGAATCTATGGAGCAGGAAGAAGTATAAGCGATAAAGAATGTATCATATTGAAAAGTTGTAGACTGTTTGCGGAATTTAGCGGTGCGTCGAGGCCAGCTTCAAAGGCGTTCGACACAGGGGCTTGACATGCTCGCCCAAGAAAGCTCATAAACATGCGCAGAGAAAACTGAAAGTTGTGATTTCCCCACTGGAACTACATTAATGACAAAGCTCTAGCCAGGCAATTTTGAAAAAGTAAACAGAATATGGTGAAACGTGGCATGTACTCTACCCACTGGATCCTGGCTTTACTGGAGATGCTTTTGCCGGTAGATAACAGGTCATATACAGACCAGTTTATTTAGAAGGTATTGCACCCAAACCGAAGATTGCATCCTCATGTAATCACACGGTCGACGCTTTCGCAGAGTACGGCGTGTGCGGGTTGGCTTCGGGTTAGAAATGCAGGATGCTCGCGGTTTCATAGCCTTTTCAAAGCGCAGAGAGCCGACGTCCATATAACGTGCCAGCCAGATGCTGAAACATGTCGATCGAAGCGAAAAGCAGAGCTAAGCCCATCACGACCACATGCGCCACCTCGCATGGGCTGTTAGCTCCTCTCACTCACCTTAACACGAGGGTTCTGTGACAGCCCGTTATCCATCTGGTCCGGGCGCAAAACCGTGGATCATACCATGTGATACATGCACAGACGACGGATGCAGCATAGAACTTAACAGCAAAAAAAATCAAGGAAAAAGAGAAAACAGGCATAGGGAGAAAACCTCCCCATCAAAAAACACCCCCCGTGGCCGCAACAAACCAGGAGCTGTTTATGCAGGAATCCCAGCTGGGGCCTTCCAGACATATTCCCGTATGTAGGAAGTGGCAGCGCCGCAGATCAAGACACATTGATTGCATGTCGTGCGGGCCCAGTAGCTTCCAGCATTTGGTATCATGCCTTCTTCAGGTTTCTACATCCGGGGGAGTGAAGGGTGGTCAACCGTATACACGATGCTTGGTCCCGGGCATCTCAACCCAGTCTTATCCAACTCCTCGATTTGTATTTCCCAATCCCTCCCATAAACCGCTGAGTCTCTCCACAAACACTATCCCGGCTCTTAGGGTCCACTGAGCACGGATCGTAATGCTAGGTGATGCGGGGGGAATAACATTTTCATTGTTCATCGCTCTCGATAAATTCCGGTTGTTGGTCGGCCCCAACATCTGCGCAAATCTCCACCTGCTCCAAGAAACGGGTATCGATTGCCTGTCTGCTAGATTCCCACGTTCGAAGAGGCGTTTGTTGTGCTTGGAATGTTTAATGTTTAACTGTGTCGTTGAAATTGAATTTCCCGGCCTTTGGTTCATTTGCAAGCGACTAATCTAGAAATGTCTTAGTCAGAGCCCCACGCTAAACTAAATGCAACCACAGCCGCCAAGTTTCAGCCAACCAGCAAATCACAGAGCTCGTTTTAGAGTAACATACACAAGCTTAGTATTGTTCTTTTACTGAACAATATAAACCTACTACTTAATACATTTAGTATCATTTTTGACCCAACATTCCCTTAAATTGTACGTACGTTCGGAATGGGACCTCGGGCTCCACTTTGACATACCCCGGTGAATCTGGACTTTCCCCAGTTACAGGCCACACAAGGTACATATGACATTATTGAAAGCGGTTAGGCTAGCTAAGCTATCCATAGGATGCCAATCTTGATGAACCCGGCATTTTTGCATGTGGTTAAATAACACTGGATCTACGTTTGTGGGGAGATCTCTGCGGAGGAATATGGGAACTGGATAGGGTGTGAGAGCCTTATAATATGTACTGTACTCTGTATGTAGATGGGCATGGATAGCTCTGAAGGCCCCATCTGGCCTTAGCTTGCTTCAGCTAAATGTGGAGGCAAAGGCTATGTAGCACTGCTTCGGGTTGCTCTAGAGAAGACGAGGTAATTCTTTCAATTTGCATTTCCTATCATCAATAACTTAGAAGTAGTAGGATAAGACCAAGGTGAAAAGTTTGACTATCGTAGCAAAATTTTGGAAAAAAGGACATCGTACATCAGGCGGCTCTGACATCCGGGCGAATTAGCCCGTATCTAAACCAGCGATAATGGGAAAGCCCGTACGTTGTGACCCGAAAACTTGGCCAACGCTGACGCGCGCCGGGCTGGTGGAAGGTGCTATCAGTAGTAGTCGTGTTAGAGGATAGGGATTTGAGCAGATATTTCATGAATACATCACATCAAAAATGGAGAGCCAATTAAAACGAACTTGCAGAAAAAAAAAAAGAAAAAAACCCCTAGCCAATCACACATCAACTTGAAACGAAGGGGGAAGGACTTCAAGTGTAGAGCGTCGCCGTGAGGCTATTGAATGCGATCCCTTCCTTCGCGATGTCTTCTTCAATCAAGAACATCAGGGGCATCTCCACGAGCGTTCCCTTGACCTTACTCAATTCTTCTTTGACCTCTTGTACCCCTCCTGGGAAATTTTCGCGAATGACATGGCCCATCAAGTATGGTTTGACTTCACGTATCTCCCCTTCCTTTTTCTTTTTCTCCTCAGCAACGGGACTACGGAAGTAGTACTCGAAGAACTCCTTGTAATCATTCCAGTTTCGAACTGTATCATCGGGAACGGCATGGAAGACTTTACGGTAGACCTCGGTATTCTGTTTTGCGCGAGAATTCCAAAAACTTTGGAATGTGTCTGACAGAGGGTCGGTAACGATTTGATTTTCCGCCGAGTTCATATCGTAAACATTGGGCACGCCCACAGGCTCAGAATTGGCGGTAGGCCGCTGGTAATCTTGGACCGGAATCAAGCCCAAGTGTTTTCGGCAGAGTTGCCGTCGGAGGGTAGTTGCAAATTTGCTCACGAGGTATGGTTTCCCGTCCATTGATGACTCCACCGGTGTGGGGTCCTGGATGATGACGGCAATCTCCGAATCATGATCCCCCAGCTGGGAACGGTCATTGAGATTGGCGCTTCCGCAGATGACCGTTCTGTCGTCGGCAATCAAGACCTGCACACAATCATTAGAATATCATAGATCACAGATTGAGAAAATATAGGAACAAACCTTTGAATGAACATAGAGTTCCTCGCTGACAAATGCGTCGATTTCAGAAACATCGCCGGGATGTTCCCACGGAACCTTTCGTATATCCTCGCCACCAAGCATATAACATTCGCTCACGCTATTCCAACGGCCAGATCCAGTCGGGTGGGAAACTTGTTGTGCAGCCTTTTGGTATGGTTGGTACGCCGCAGTGGTGTCGAACGCACTGGTCGTACTTGCAGTAACTTTGTCATCATGCTGCTTTTGGGCGTCCTGGTAGTCAACACCACTCTTCTGCTCAGCCTTCCTCATTTCTGCACTTGTGTTGATTCTGTCATAATTGCGTAAGTTATAGAAGCGGATATAGTCCATCGGATTGTATCCTTCTTTGGAAATCAGCTCCATGATACTATGGCCCCCACGGTTGATAGAAGTGTACTGGAATTCCATAATTGCGCGAATGCCGAGGGCGACATCATCACGGAGCTCTCCCGCAAAGCAAGGCACGGCTGGGATCACAACAATCATCTTGTACTTCTGCCCTGCTCTCGCGGCGCGAAGAATGCGCTCCACAATCGCGGCACCAACCTTGTTTTCGATAGGTTTCTGGGCATCACCGGTCGCTGTGATGAAGAACTGGTTTTCGATATATACGAAATGCTCGCTGTCGCGAATAATAGCCGCATATGCATCCATAATTGAGTGCTCTGTTGGGGTTCCATGGCTCCATTTGGCGGAGGAGCGAATAATTTGACAAGACATATTCGCCGTTGGCCTCCCTGTCTTACCAGGTGTGCCTGAGAAATATCGATCCTGATATTGGTGCACTTGTCCAGCAAGTTGACCTCGAAGGACGCTGCCAAAATTGCCAAGGTCATGTTTCAAACCACGAAGTTCTGAGGTCAGACTGCGATCCTGCCCGGGTTGTTGATGAGAACCCGGTTGGAACTGTTGCTGATAACCATGCTCATAGTATGGTTCAGGTCCACGAGTCTGCGAATGTTGCCCAGCCTGATTTGGCGGCGGTGGGAAATACGGCGCCTGGGAATACGGCGTCTGGGACTGCGATTGCTGTGTTGAAGCGCCCCACCCAGGCTGTCCTGGCTGATTGCTACTGCCATGGTGCGCTTGAGTCGGAGGAGGCCCAGTTGGGGGAAGAGGGTGGTACTGCTGGTTGTGTGCTGGAGGAGGCGGCTGGTGTCCATGATGCTGTTGCTGTGATTGTCCGTGCGATCCCGTAATGCTAGCAGCTGATAGCGGTTTTTCATAGAGTACCAACCTCGAGTATCTGCTATCTTGACGAACGTTATACTTTTCGTCATATATGAAGTTCCATCGCTCAACGAAGTGCCTTCGAAGGTCTTCAACGGCAGGTCCATGCAAACTAACTGAAATATCAGCCCATCCCATACGAGAGTTGCTCTTGCGATCAAGCTTGTTGTTCTGCCAATGTAGCACATCGTCGAAATCCAACACACGAGCATTGTTATAGTCCTGGCCAGGGAAAACGGTCTCTCTGATATCGTTAGGATGAACATCAGAAAGAGAATGTTGATTCGTATCCCAGCGTCCGTAACATAAATCAAGGCCACCCAAGAAGGCAGTCTTTCCGTCAATGAGGCAAAGCTTTTCGTGGTGAGCCCAGTAAAGGACAACATCGCCACTCATTCCGTATAAACCTTTCAGGGCATCAGCGGAAAGCTTAGAAACGCCAGCCGCATTGAGGGTTAAGTTTTTGAAAGAATCTACAACGGAAGAATGGATAGTCTGCCGATCAGGAAGATGATCTGGGTGCCGGAACACAGCAATGTTTGGATGAAGGTTCTGAAGGTGATGCTTGGTATGAGAGGACGACACTATCACGCGGTAATCAATAACGTATCACTCACATTTTGATAGGTATTACGGGGAAATGTTGACCCGTGGGTTGCAGTTTAAATACATACAAGTCATTGCTTGGGTCACTTCTTTATACACAATTACGTTGACACGAACCCCGCGTTGAGCAGCAGCGTGGACCATTCGATCGAGTCGGTACTGCTCGTTTTTGGAAGGTGGGCGCCTCAAATACAGTTCCGGGGATAACCACCCTAAATGAAAAATAATTAGTTGTCAAAAAAGCAACCGTTGTTTGAAGGGGTCACTTACAGTCAAGGATCCAAATAGACTCCTTTGCATTTTCCAAGGCCCTGGACACCGCATACATATAATCACAGCCATCAATATACCACTTGGCATCACAGTGATCTCTAGGGGGTGCAAAACTTCCAAATCGATTTTGTGAGCTTGTTGGTGGCGGGCCATACTGGGCGTACGCTTGAGGGTCAAGGGTAGAACCAATTTTCTGTGCTACACCGGAGCCAATTCCTTGAATCTTGCCAAGTAGCCCCGATACCATATCGGGTTTGGATGTGGATGGCTTATTTTCATGATAAGGGGGGTTCTGGCCATGGGGAGGTTCATTATATGGCTGTTGGCCAGGGGCAGCAGCATATGGTTGTGGAGGCTGTGGTGGGTATGGTTGTCCATAACCATGGGAGCCGGATTGTCCCTGAAACCTTGTTAGCGGAATATAAAAAACCCCCATCGCCAATATACCAGTATGTGAAAAGTAGGGATTCCACTGTATTCTCTCCGAGTCTCTCACCTGTTGGACGTTATGAGTATCATAATGGGACTGTTGGTATGGTTGTTGAGAACCTGGTCCACCGGCGTAAGTCTTGACCTTGTCACGGAACTTGTTGAGGGTGCCTCCTAGGAGGCTCCTCTCCCCCCCCCCTCCTCCCCCCCCCCTGCCATCGCCAGAACCTCTTTCAGACTCTCCTTGTCCGCCATAATACCCGTAGGCCAAAGGGTCTTCTTTTCCGGACATTGAGGGCGAGTTTCGGCTGACTGCGAATTAGTGCGGGGAATGGGGCTCAAACAGGATGCTCGGTTTCGCGGCTTGAAATACCCTTTTATTCGGGGGTTAACATTAGCAATAGCAAACTGAGTGAATGTCTATCGCATATCTACACCGCTTCGAACCCAACCCAGGAAACGAGCAGGAGAGTGCTGTCTTTATATGAAGGATGTTGTTCCCCTCCCCGGGTCCTGGGGTTGGTCCTGGAACACGCGAAGTGGGGGAATTGATCTCGTTGTGGCTTGCTCAGCCACAGCTATCGTGGCGTCAGTGTCCACTCAGGCAAACCCAGGATCGTGGTTCGCTTCTTCCTGGTTCTCGGCCTCACGAGGCTAGAGTCTCACACCTTGTCATAAAAACCCATCAGCGGACCAGTCACAACAGCTCTTCTCTTAGAGCCTGCTGCATAAGTTTGCTGCATAACCTCTAGTTATGTTACACAGTCGAACAAGATGACACCGAGGAACCCAGCTGTGATGTTCAGCTGCACTGGGATTCGGGCCACATCGGGCTGAAGCGTGGGCTGGCGCTAGAGACGTGCCTCACTACAGAGGGCTGTGGGCTTCTTAGCAGCGAAGGGAGAAAGTAGAGAGCGATCTTGGCCCCTCATACTGATGCATGTTCATTCCTTAGGCAGCAACCGCAAACGTTGGGGATTTTTCGGCCACTGCAGAAATACCATGGAAATACCACCGAAT